AAAAAAACAAAAAAAAAAAAAAAAAAAAACACATCATAGTAAAATTAATACCTTCTCCGCTTCGCATCGAAGCTAAAAATTATAAACAGTCCACCTTCGAATTTGTTACGTTTCAGACCTTTAGAGTTTGTAATTTAAACATTCTGAAGTTTTTATTTGCTAAATCTAACATTATTCATATTACATTGCGTAAGATTGATTAATATCTACTAAATTAAATGGAAGTATGAAGTGCATGATAGAATACATACTATAGATAAATTTAATATACAAATAAACAAATTAAAATTATTGATAAGTATAATGGGTGTGTTTCACTTTTTTCATAAAAGATCATTTAAAGATAAAAAAGTAATTTTTTTCCTCTTAGAAAAATTAAAAATTAAAATGTTAAGGAATAATTATGTAGAAAATTGGTGTAATGTACAAACAGAAGCGGATATAGTATTATTCTTTGGGGGAGTTAAGTAAAACAATTTTTGCCTAAACGACCAACTAATTAATATTTTTTCTGGTCTTATAATTATTTTTGATAATAACCCGCCCCAATGATTGTACTATGAGACTTTTACTATTTATCAATATCTATAGATATTGTACACATATATGCGTACTAAAAAAAAACTGAAAGTAAGCCATGAAATAGATACACTTCTGAAGGAATAGTTAAATATTTCGAATTTTTTAACTGGTTAACATAAAAAATCCATTAAATCAGCGAACACTCTAAATGATAAATACAATTAACATAGAATTTATGGGATCTGATCTCATATAAAATATTTAGTCGTTGGAAAAATATGATATTTGAATTTAGGTGATTATTTTAATGTAGATTCATTTTTCTATCAACATTATTAGCACAAAAAACAAAATCAAAAAATTGTATTGCTTGTATACGTGCTAATAAAAAAAATATAATTTAAATTGTATTGTTTTAATAAAAGCCACACTTATTGGTCTTACGAAACGCTAATTTTCAATAAGTATATTTTAAAGGCATGGCTGTCTAAGAGGAGGGGACAAGTGCCATGGGGCGCCGAAAAATATAAATACATTTTTTTTTTTGCATTGCATATATATTGTTTTAAAATATATATTTTTATATCAGTCGATGTTATTACTTTTGTATTTACAAGATGTTTTATACCTCATTTTAGTAGTTCATCAATTAAGTACATCAATGTAATTGTTATTGCTTTTATACGATGGTCAATATATTATTACTTATGACTATGGTTAGTGCTCAAGATTGGCGGGCGCTAGCAACGGATATTGTAACAGAATCAGGACTAAAAATAAATTAGGAAATCAATATTCTGTTTATTTTGTTGATATCCATATATTCTACTATCCCCAAGCAATAATTATATCATATTAATATAGTCATCTATGACAATTCATGTGTACTTTAATGGTGTAGTGTGATCAGAATTTGTTTTTTTAGTTGTCCTGCTTTTCTTCCTTAATTTTTTTTTTTTATTTTATAATGGCAAAAATAATTACGAAAAAATTAGAAATAACATTTGTAAATTTTGTATAATAAAAAATTAATGATTTTGTATTTAAATGTATTATATTATATACACAGTGTTCAAAAAGTAAGAAAACGAGTCAATTGTTACAAACAAGGAGAACATTCTATATATTGTTGTGATTAGGAAATTATTAAGAGCATAGCCAGTGGCTTTAACCAAAGATTAATTGCATGTAGAATTTTTCATTGAATGTTTGTTAAATTAATAGTTGCTCTAGGGTGCCAATGACAGCACGGCACTGTTTGCAGGACTGTTTTCTATACTACATTACTTTTTAATCCGATTGAATTGTATTACTCTTTAAGAATAAATCTCATTATTATTTATAATAAATAAGTAAAAACAAACGATATCGAACGTTTTACATGTTTTGTATTAGGTTATCGTATGATATACTATTGTACTGCTGTGGCCAGTACAATGCGCTATAAAGATAAGTTGACAAAAACAATATGCTACATCCTCCCAGATGATTGTGAGCTAATTATTATTGGTATAACAATCACTGCAATATTGTTAAAACTCATACAATAAATAAAAAACAAAATTTTTAACGACAAAATCACAGTATCCTTAAAAACATCAGGAAACAATTTTATAATTATTATATATTTTTCCTATTTATAAATTACACATTTTCCACATTTAAAATATTGAATTTAAAAATAGAATAATTTTATTACTACATACAATATTTGTTTGGAGGACCTTTGGGGACTGTTGAAACCTTTGGAATAGTTATTAATTATATTTTGTTTATTTAAAAACTCTACCATTTTAAGCGTATCCACTTCTTTATTATTAAATATTCTTTTAATTAAATTTTATTTTTTACAAGTATTTTACCCTTAAATAGCACGACCCTTAAAATCTAAGACTATAAATTTAATAGTACATTTTATATTATAAATACAGCTTTCAATCAGTAAAGTCCCGCAGATAATTAATTTATTATTATTATTATTGTAGCTTAGGTTTTTTTTTTTGTAACGCGTTGATCAGTACTTCCATGCCGATTACATTTGTCTGCGATCCCATGTCCAACTTTAAAAATGTCATTAATTTACTTAATATTATTTTATTTTAATGAAGTGTTCTTTAGCACATAACAAAGAATTAAAAATAACTGAAATTAAAAGAAAAAAAACATAGTTTTAAACAAAAAAAAAACGTTTGTTTTCTTTTATTTAAACGTTTTTTCCTAGCCCTGTTTGGTTATTTGTCTCCGCTATGTCTTTGATTATTTTGTTTATTTTGTAGTACATTTTGTTTATAAGCTCTACAGCCTATCTAAAGTTTGTTACTTTGTGACAACCGAACAAACATGGACAAAAGTTATGCAATTCCCGCGGCTTTGGTTTGCTGCCACATTTGTATCAATCTTTTAGTAACTTATTATTTGTAAAATCATTTCGTCTATCTGCAGTGCATTGTTTACAAGTACTAATTTTTTTTACGCCTTTTGCTATATTATAGATATAAGCTACGTTAATTAATCATACCATATGACTAAGTTGATTTTTAACGAAAATTATTTTTTTTAGCTAAATCAATTACTCTATCAAGAACAATTTCTGGTTCACTTAACAACTTTTCTTTGATATTGCCATCGTTTATTCCGATGATAAGTTTATCTCGAACGATATTTTCAGTTTAATTAAATAGGCATGTTTTTAATTTGGCGATAAACGAATCAAATGGCTAATCCGGTTCTTGGTTGTATAAACAGAATTTAAACCTTTCAAATACAACATTTTTCCTAGGTTTGAAAAACTCATTGAATAGTTTTAATGTGTTATTTCTGCGATAAAAAGTGAACGTGTTGTATATCTTCACAAGCTTCATTCCTGCTACATTAAATAATATAGCTATTTTTGTATCATACGGTTTTTCATTATTTTCCGATGTCGACAAAAATATTTCAAACTGTTGCTTGAATTTTTCCAGTTTACAATTCAAATTTAAAATTTAGGTTTTTTGGAATTTTACACTCAATTATATTGACGTAAGAAATACTTATAATTTTATAATTATTCTTATTTTTACAAATAATACTACGAATCGCTTTTGACTGACCAAATTATTAGATTTACTGTACTATTATAAAAAATATTTTTTAGCTTTGTTTGCTATATTGAGGTGTAAACAATTACATTGTCATCACACCTGATACTATGAATTATTCTCTAAGAATAAATTTGGTAATTACTATTATTATTAATAAATAAATGAAAACGACATTAAAGAGTCCATATGTTTTAATTATCGTACCATGTGCATACGTAGATTGACTAATTTACAGCCGGTGGCCAGTGCCAATGCGCTATAAAGTTGATAAAGTCAATATGCTACAGAATAACGTAAACAGAAATTTTATAAAAATAAAAATGTTAAGTTTTTGGATTATTATTCAATTTAAGCATTAACCGTGTTAGTTAAATATAAGCTGATAATATCAACATATGTATTAATGTTAAATGTTAATCAAATATTTTCATTAAAATGTCTAAAGCCATTAAATTTTAAACGTATTCAATGTCATCATTAAAAAGTCTATACAAATTATTTTAATTACTGATGTAGAATTTAATAATTAATCAACAAAAATTCTTATAAATTTGTTCAAATAAATTAAAAACTTCAATTAGTTCAATACAATAATTTTTGATGATACAAAATAGAAACAATAATAAAACGATATTATCGATAAAAAATATTGAGTTTAAAATTTTATATTTATCCATCGACGTTAAATTCTATTCATTATATTTCATTAATTTGATTCCCAATTAGAAAAAATCGAATTCATGCTTTCTTTCGACTATTGCACCTTAAACATTCCAGTTTTTTTAATTCTAAACATAAAACGTTCAATTAATTTCATTTGTATAAAAAATTTTTTTGATAAAATTTGTTTGAGCTGTTGTTGAAATTAGATTATAATAACATTATGATCCTATTTCTATGGAAACCTTTGCTACAAAATACATTTTTTGCTTTTGATGATCAGACGTTTTTTTCATTCGATATTTTTTAATTTTTCATAATATTGTGATTCAATATTGAAATTTAAAAATAACAATTTAACGTTGAACTGATTTTACTTCTTGATGATTTTCTATTTAACTAAAATTTTCATATTTTCATTAATATCGTATATTTAACCGTCCACTCTAATCATATGAAATCGGGTGATTCACAATTTTTTTTTTTCAAAACCGTTATTTTAGGTATTATAATAACACATAATCACAGCATGAAAATATTTACTTTTAATTCATATACATTTTTATTGGTTGAAACCTTACACATTGAAATATTAAAAATGAAATAACAAATTATTTGCTAGCAGAGATGAAACATCTCCACGATTGTCTGATGATGCGTAGGCCTAATTAAATCTTTGTACATCATAAAATTGATGTGCGTTTTCAATTATTTTCCGATAACATTTTCAAATCATTGAATAACAAAGAGTGAATGAAATGTTAAATGTTATTACATTACAAACATTTTATTTTAATCGAAAAACACTGGAATAATTTCAAAAGATGTTTTTTTCTTGTAAAGTATCTCTGAGCATGACGACTTACCCTCGTCTTGGAACCACGACCACCCGAAGTGAATCCATAATGTTATCCTCCTCCGTACTGTATCATTTGCAAAGGCTTACTGTGACTGTGTTGCCGCTTGGATTGTATCTCAACGGTGAGACTCTCGTCGCGAACGAAAGAGAGAAAGTTTTTCGCACACTGGCCAGCAACACACGCACTCACTCATCCAGGGCAAAATCTATAAGGGTCCCTTCATTCATTGTGCTCGACCCCGGCGTTGGCAGTCACCACCGTTTTTCAGCTAGTAGCGGCAGCAGCAGCACTGACGACGGCAGGCCATGCGCAATGCAATCACACCGTTTTTGTTGTATTATTTTCATCGTATTTTGCAGCAAAACCGCCATTCCGGCAGGCGCACTACCCCGTCTGTATTTAATGCCCCTTATCGCTGCATGCAAACCTGCCGTTTACTATATCGTACATTTCAATCACACGTGTGTACACAAAACACACAACTTTCACCCGGTCTAGATGGGACGCTTATCAAGTCGAAAATCAAACGGTACATATTAGCAGTTGATTAAAATTGACGTTACGTTTACAATTATTTCAATGACAAGAGTCAATTTTGTGTTGTAAATGGTTTTAACAATGGTTTTAAAACGATTATTTTATTTTATCATCGATATTGATTTTTTGTCGTCCAATTAAACTATGACTTACGTTCCATATATATCAATTAAGAAATGTGTTTATTAAGCGATTGTATGTTTTCAAATGTGACTCGTTACTTCTATTAATTTAGCGAGATAGAGTTAAATGTTTTCATTACACACTGCGTTATACAATCAATTAATGTGTAACAATCAAATAAGTGCTATCTATACGTGTTAATAAAACAGTAATAATAATTTTATTTTCCTCGAGGAATGACAAGTGTAATGAACTCGACCTTACTCGACACAGGAACTTACGTCAGTTACTCAATAATTGATTAATATTGACTTTAACTGTCAAAAACAGTTGTAAATAAACTAGAATAATTACTTTTGCTATTGAAACGTAAATGGATATCTATGGAAAATGTTGAAACGTGTTTTGAATGGAAAAGTTTTCATTAATTTTTTAAGTTGATTTGTTAAAGCTTACATTCGTTTTGTTTACTTAATAGTAAAAAGAACCATAAATTGTTTATGTTTGCCATATAGTTCTCATTCGTGTTACTTTGCTAAAATAGAACTATTGAATTTTATTAAAAAATAAATAAAACAAAATATATTAGCCAAGATTGTAACTCAGATTAAGTATTTAGGTGGATGTGAGTGTTTTTCGTTGTAAATAAAATTTTATGTCTTATTCCCTTAATGCGTACGTATAATACAAATAAAAATTTATGCGTGTTCCACATAAAAAAACATTAAAGGCGCAATTTTTGTTTTTACATACTTATTTGTATAATGGCATAAATTAAATAAAAATAACTTTTAGGATTTTTTTATTAGCTCAATTATATATTTATGTTTATTGTGATTAAAGTTCGTAGTTTGTTTATTATTATTATTGATATAAATGATAACTTGATGTAATTTGCCAATATTTGGATTTTCCTAACTTTTATCGCCTTTGTTTTTTTGATTTTATCAACAAAATTATATGAAAAAAGTTCTGAGGAACCAAACTGTTGTACCTGAAATAATTATCAAGTTTTTTTGCAAAGAAGTTATAATTTTAGTGCTCACGTATTTTTTATGTATGTTTTGACCATTTAACGGGAGTATTTACTCATAAACATAAAAATTAAATGAATCTATATAATATTCCTTTACAGTTAATATTTTGGATGCAAAAAGGTGTGTATTTTCATATAACAATATAAATGTATCAAGTTATAACCAACGTACATGTTTTGTCTTATTTACCCATATTTTGTTTTAACTTAATGAAATTGCTACTAATTACTCATTGTCTCTTATGAGCCTTCATTTTTCATAAATGGCGCAGCATACTTAATTTGATAGCATAAAATCAAAATGTTCACAATGACAAATGTTTTGCCTTGAATGACACAGAATTTGAACAAAAAACAGAGACGGGTCAAATAGTACAATGGCCCGTAGGGTGATTTCCCCCGTGGGTTTCATACAATGCTCGTCCTACAGCTATTTATTTTTATCTTAAACAGTAATTTATAAAACGAAGGGAGTATTTAAATATATTGAGTAATTGTGGGTGTTTAAACAAATACATTGGGCCTCGTTATTTCATAAACAAAATTTGTTTTGAAAACTATATGGATCTATGTTATTGTAGTTTTTGTTGCAAATATTAAAATATTTTCATAATGTGTTTTTAGTACCACTTTTAATTTGAAAATTCAAATTTTCAAAATTCACTTAATAAAAACGTAAAATATAGATTATATAAATAAATTGTAGTCATAATATATATTAGCTGTTCAGTAAGTAAAAAAACGGATTTCTACTGTTTCCTTATTTTTTTAACACCTGCATAAGATGAATGGTTAAATAAAAACATGCTTATCTTAAAAAAATTCCGAATATTAAAGATCATTTTATTTCAAATAACATAATACTTAATTCATAACTCAATGTTTTAACATAATAATATATTCAACATAATATGAAACAAATAACATCCATCGAATTTTGATTGACACAATTAAATACAATAATCGATATTTATATATAAATAATAAAATTGTTAAAAAATTAGGTATAAATACTAATTAAATCACAACAATACAATTCGTAAAAAAAAGAAAAGAAATCGGTATGAATAATACAATATGTATATTATATAAAAGGTAACGACGAAACAAAAAAATTTTACGAAGACTATGATATATTATTATACAAAGTTAAATAACAAAATAAATAATAATGACAATAGTCATAAATGTTTACCTAAAACACAATATCAGTAAAGATTTAGTTATAACCTAAGATCACAAATAACAAATGTTTAATTATTTTGGCGTTTTAAATAAACTATTATGATATTAACATCGAAATAACACGGTATATAAATGCAATATTTAAGCTATTTACAACCAAAACATATCAGTCATAAACGAAGACAGAGGATGATATTGATATATGTTTCAACAACTTCTGTCCTTTAAGATTAAATCTGCATCACTAGGGGTCAATAGGAATTCAAATTCAGTGTTAAGTTGTCCCTTGAAGTCGATGTGAAATTGTTTAACCATCTGAAAGGTTCACAAAGTTAAATAAAAATGATAAAATTGCACCTTATAGGTGTTACGTCAGTGTTAACAATAAAGAAATGTATCGGCGAGATACAAGACTTTCTTATTTTTAATCATAATATCAAATGTTAAAATAAATTTAAAAAGGACTCTTTGTAATTTTAGAATATAATTAATTTTAATGCAAAAACGAATATTTCAACATGGGTTAGATGTAAAGTAAAAATGTAATTTTATTTGAAAAAAAAAAAGTGAATTGGTTGATACACTATTTTAAAACTGTCCATTAATATTTTGATTAAGATTATTTGATAACAACCTTAGCTAAGACGACTTGGAGTTCCAGTTCAACGAACCGTTTTCCTGGACACATTCGTTTGCCGCATCCAAACGGAACAACTAAAAATGGTGATTTTTTCGTTAGTTCATCCAACCACCTTTCTGGTTTAAAAGAAGACGCATCATTGAAGTTGTTTTCGTCCAAGCACGCCAACCACGTATGAAGCAAAACAACCGTCTAAAAAAAATTATAAGATCAGATGTGAAAATAACATATAGTTTTAAACGATTTACAATATGAGATTAAATATAAAATTCCATTTCATTTACCCCGGAAGGTAGCCGATAATCGTCATACTCAAATGCTGTCTCTAACACTCTTGCAATGCAGGGCGCTGTGGGTAATAGTCTAAAATAAACAAAAAATAAGTTTTAGTGATCATTGCGTTTATACGTACAATATGCTTAATTGGATAAACGTTTTAAATAGTGTGTACCTATGTGCCTCTGAAATGCAAGCGTGCAAGTAGGGAGCATTATGCAAATGTTCAGCAGTTATTGGGGTATCCGCCGGCGCGAGTTTTGATACTTCTTCATATATTTTTTCTTGGACATCGGGATGTTTGGCAACCAAATATAATAAAAAAACTAACGTGTTTCCTAGCTGAAAAAAAAATGGGAAAAAATGTAACTTTGCGCTTCTAAAAGTATTATGATTCGATTATTTTTTTGATTTAAATAATCTAATGATTTCGATAATCGAGATTATAGTTAATGAAAATTCGAGTTCAGACATACACAGGTATTTATCAAAATCAAAATAATCGATTTACTAGATTTTTAAACAAATTGTGTGATTAAGATTGATCAAAATCACATAACATTCATTTAATAATTGAAAATAATCGCTTATTTTTAAATACAAATTTTTATCACAAAATAATAATTAAAAAATAATCAAGTCCATTTAAAAATAAAAATTAAATAAATTATAAAGATCCTATCGCGTTTTGTCAAATGGCATGTCTGTACAAAACTCTGTACAAAAATCGGTCAAACTATTAGCCCATTATTATTATGCAGTTCGTCAATAATAGTCAACAATCGGTATTTCGGTATCAATATTTAATTGTTTTGAGTTTTGTCTATTGCATATTTTATAAGAAATTTCACTATAGTAGATAATAATTCAATTATTTATAAAACAAGTTCAAACAATAAGAATTGTAAATTGTAATTCATTCTAGTGAAATCATTCGATCATTCCCAAGGGAGGGGTTTGAGGGGAAATAGTCCCTCATTGGCCAATTATTAATATTAATACTATAAGACTCGGGTAGTAGTAAGATCATGTGATAATTCCAAAAATACAAGAATAGTCCTTGGCATCCCCAAAGAAAAAACCTTACTGCGCCACTAGATTATTCAATAATTTTTATTTCGACTACTAATCATTCAATTATTTCCATCACTAATAATGCTTATTATATGGTTTTACAGTCTTAATTCCAGCAGCGATGTAATCGATAATTGCTGCTTTTTTGTCTCTATTGTCCAATTCAGATGCTTGTAGTATGGAGACAAATACACTGCGTACGTCTGTGCAAGACTGTAATTCGTCATTCAGTGCTGAGTCCACAATATCTGACACGATACTAAAATAAATAAATTAAAAGTTAATTGGCACGCCCCGAATATTAGATTCGGGCGTAGTTGGCTAGAAGCTAGTATTGAGAAGTTGTACTTGCTCGTAAATGGCGTCTTCACTCGTTATGAAGTCTTTATAAGATTTTGTTGGAAATAGCTTCCATAAGGGCAGACCATAAAACGCTTCTTGTGATGCCCTGAACTGATTTGTTACAGAGTCTGCAAGTTTAGTAGCCATTTCGTTTATTTCTTCGTCTAAGAATCCGAATCTTCTACCTAATATTAAGGTGCATGTACCTACGAAATTACATTTAGATTCAGATCTAATTAAAAAATCTACAAATCAAGAACTTACTTTCAAGGCCCATCCGATTACAATATAATTCGAAACCTTTAACAACGCCTTCGCTATCTCTAGCTTGTGCAATTAACGTGTTAAAATCGTCTGCAAGCTGATTGACTTCTGGTAAAAACCTTCGTATCGTTCTCGGGCTTGTTAGTTCTGGAGTTAATTTATTCCTCAATACTGCCCATGTCTCGCCCTGCCTGTAAAATACAATTGTGTATTAGTTTCAAATAATGATTAATTGACGATTACTGAACTATCAGCTTATTCTCCAACAAATTTTATTATATTATTTTAATATTAATAATGAATAAAACGCCACTTAAAATTATCTTTTTATTTTATATGATATAAGATGAAATTTCATAATTTTACACAAAATTATTTTAGTTAAAGAATAATTGGTTAAATACCAAAAAAAAAAAAAAAGTATTTTTTTTAATTAGATAATGTAGTTTCTTTTTTATTTATTTTACTTTTATATAATATATAATCACGATAAAAATAATCGGTAAATAATTTTTATCTTTCAGTAAATCTAATGTGAGTTTAAACGAGTACTTTAAACAAAATGATAATTTTTTACTCGCATGTATTGATGAAACATACTCATTGACTAGTCCAAGGTTTGTGTATCTGTCGGGTCTAGATTTTCTATAGTTTGCAGTTACTTCATTTGGAGGTCGGATCGGGTATTTACCACTGTGCCTGAGTACTCGTTCAATGAAATCTCTGTCCATAACACTTATTACAGGAATGTTCCATAAGGCTTCTTCACGAATAATTTTTCCATACCGCGCGAACATGTCTATGAGAAGTTTTAACTCGTTATGAATCTTCAACTAGAATAGGATTACGTAGGTACACCCAAATTTTCTATTGGTTTGGGTTTTAATCCGGATTACGTACCACCTGAAACGGATAATTGTCTTGTAGAGACTACACAGGTTTTAAATCAATACTGGTTGTCATGTTTTCATTAAGATCCATGCTTTATTATTCTGTTTGCAATAGAATCAAGTACAAACAATAATTTTTCACTGTCATAATAAGTGTGGTACATAATCCGGATTAAATTTTGGAAATCATTTAGGAAGTAGAGAATAGTATTCTTCAATAGTCTGTTTAAATCACCTTTATACGCCAAATGAACGGCGTTCAGTTTGTAAAACCCAAACTTCCAATAGATCCATCGGGTTCCGAAAATTGGCAAAGTCCTTGGTCCTGGGATGTCTGCGACAGTCTTGTTTTTGTTCCGCTGAATATCTGAAACAATGAAAACAAATACGTCATTGAAGCCAATGACACCAGCCCTTGACCTTGTATTATAGTACCGCTCAATCGCGAATAAATTGATGCAGGTTCATTAAACGCCTGCACCCTGAGGTCTTCTATGTTATGATTAATTTAATTAAAACCGGTTTAATTGTAATAGTGAGCTCAAATATGCACAAGAACAAACTATTATATTTTTCTTATATATTTATCTTTAGTGTATCATAATTGCTAAATTCGATAAATTAATTACTTTGAAAACGGTAATTCGTTGTTATTATTAATGATTCATGAAGTTACCTGTGGTTAAATACACATGTGTTCTATGTTTTAATGCGTCAAAAACTGACGTCATGATGATTTTGTCATAAATTTAAAAAACAAAATACGGTTCTGTAACTCGACTGTCTAATATGAGTTTAAAATATATTTGTGTTTAAATATCAATTTAATTAACTATAAATTATTAATAATGGATTATAAAATTGTATTATTTGAAAGGAAAAAACCATTTTATAAAAAATATTTATGATTTTACTAATTAGTTAAACGTTTTTAAAATTCCTTTATATTGTCAAAAGTGGATCTAATATTCACTTTGATGAAGGGGTAGTGTAAAATATTTTACTGTTGTTTTATTATTAGTAAGTAAGTTATTTTATAAATTTCAGACCTTTGTTATTAAAAAAAAAAACGGTATAATTACCGGATAAAATATAATATTGTAGGATCAGCATTTATGTTAAAAGGCTGCACATTCTTTTTCATTACATAGGAATATCATAAACACTAAATATTATTTTAATATAATACACGAAATAAAATACATATTATATGAATAAAAAGTTTTTTAAAGTCTCATGTGAATCAAAATATGGTAAGAAAGTTTTTAACACTGATATTTAATTATTATTTTTAGAAAACAATATAATAGTTATGTTTATTGCATGTAATTTTCAAAAAAACAAGAATTAATGTAAATTAAAAAAATCAAAATTCACTTAAAGAAAATTATTAAGGGGATTAAGTAAGTTATTTTGTCGTTTTAAATAATACAAATAAATAATAGATTTTATTGAGCCTGAAATTCGGGAGTTTTCCTAGTAATTTACTTAGAAATAACATTTTTTTTTTGTTTTTAAGCAGTTTGAAACATTTCTGTATTTTTTAAGTTAAAAATAATTAAATATCACCAATTATTTCTTTGAAAATAGCAGTTACTTATTTTAAAATTCAATTGAATATATCAAAATGTTCTGATCTTGTTTATAACTATGTAATATCATTTTTTAAATGAATAAATTGGTAAATATCGTTTATGAATAAAAATAGTTCAAAAATGTAGACTATAGAGATTATAATAATACAATATTCATTAATTTCATTAAAGAATCTTTAATTAAAATTATTGAAACTAAATTTATGAATATTTTCTGACTTAAAATTTTAAGTTTTTACATCATGAACCAATCAATTATTCATAAAATAATAAAAATGTTGAGAATTTTTTTTTTATTTTAAGTTACATATAATCCTTATTTATCCATTATTAAGTATTTTTTGTTTATCCCTTATGTGTTATAGGGGCATAAACTTTAATTTTTAATGGAAATAAATTTTTTATTTATTTAATCATGATGAAAATATTCATATAGATAATGATGATAATTCATGATTGTTAAAAATGTATACCACAATCATAAACACTGATATTTACTAACGGGCTATTTATCAGTGCGCATCAGTTATTGTCAACTATCGGTGTACTGGCAGACCGGTTTACCGGTTAAGAGTGTATACCTATAACCTTTCTCAAAGAAAAGAAACTTTAAATTATTTTATCAAATAAACGTACAAAATAATAAAAATTCTACTTTTGAATTACTGAATTGAAATATGTGTTCTATAAAAAAAAGTTGATATCTCTATAATGTATAAAGAATGACACCAAAAATACTATACTTAATAGTAGATCAATTAATAATTATGTGTAACTTAAAAATACAAAAAAAAATAATTTGAGTTATTACTATAGACTTTTTCAATCATTTTTAATTTGCTTTCTGATTAAGATACATTCTAATTTATATTCTTGTTTAACATATTTTAGAAAATTTTATTGTTTATTCTGTTTTTGAACAATGTATAATTTATTTTTTATTTCTTGTTACAATTGTATTTTTTTTTATAATATTGAGTCAATCCGCTGCAGTTCGATCACGAAATTTATTATAATATTTTAGCGTTAAAAGTGTCAGTAAATTCAAATAGTTAAATATACTTTTAAAACTGGTTCGAGCGTCGAAATTTAATGGTAAAAAGACATGGTTGCTTATATCAACGTGTTTTATAGTTTTTGCACGTTCTGCAGAATCAGGTAAATGTACCGTTGCGTTCTTCCTAACGGTTTTTGATGCATTCGATTTTGTTATGCACTTGTACACTATATAATTTATGGGGTCTAGACAGCTAAAAAACGAATGCTCGCAGTAAAATATTATGAAGAATAATCAAACGACTACGGGTGTTTAAATTAGATAAAATTAAAAACTGAACTCTTATAGTAATAAAAAGAGTTTAAAAAACCAATAAACGTTATTACCAACGTGGAAGAGTGGGAAAGTCTGTTAGGTACACGGTACTGGTTTCTGTTGCAACAAAATGACAAGGATGATTATTTTGGTAACAAACAACCAGAGAAATTCATTATTATAATAAACACGAGTGCACAAGTTTTAAAATAATCGGGTTTTTTCTCAAAATACATAATTGATAACACTTAAAAAATTATTTGGCAACAAAATACTTACAAATCTATTTCATTACTACGTTTACATTAAATCTATGGCGTTTTTGGGAATATCAGTTTGTGTAACTGCTTATCGAGAGCATGATAACTATAAACAAATTGTTTGATCAAATATTAATCTATTATTCAATTTGAGTGCGACTCTTACTGTCATGTTTCTTTCAAACAAAGCTATTTAAAGTCAATAAATACTTATTTATTGTCGTTCATATTTAATTTAAATTCACTAGCATTGAAGAAAATCTCACATGGTCTATTAACACTTAACAATTTATTCAGCATATGATTTATTTTCTGAATATCATAGCCACAAAATAATCGATCATACAAAAATTAGAAAATTAAATGATTAATGACTAAAAATTATGATTGTTGTAGTGGGTTTATAATGATATTTTATTAATTGAAATTTTTACTATCCAAATCTGTTAGATCTGTTTACGATGTCTGCAACATAAATATATTGTGACGTGCAATTAAAAAATGCCACCAAATAATTATTATTGAAGTTTGTTTAAATGCTATTGTTATAACTCATAAAATGATCAATATGTTGAGCCTTATCAATTAATGTGTACATATGTGATCATAGACAAAAACACTGGTAAAATAAATCCGAAAGCAAATAACGAACCGAAAAAAAAAATTAATTATTGACTCAGTTTTTTATTTTTTATTAAACAATGATACATAGAAAGGGTTTCGACTGTTCATTTATTTTTTAACGATAATGTATTGTATTATATACTATTACGATGAACAGTTTATACCAGATAATGACTTTATTTAATGGACTTATAATTGCAAATTATTGAGGTAACTAGTAATCACATTCTGATAATAATTATTATTGCCTTTCAAAACTGTATTATCAGTCGATATTCATGTTGATCATGTTGGTTTTTTGGAAGAGTTCACATATACTATTAAATAGTTTGAAAAACTTAAGAAAATGTTTGTGGTTTTTTTTATCTAATTATCGAAACAATGGATTATATTGCATTTTAATATACAGTTATCTCTTACAGATATCTCAACTAAATATTTCTTTGCGTTTAAAACCCATTCATCTAATTTATGTAATTTTCTTAATTTTATTTATTTGGGAATAAAAAAAATAAAATTTCATCACCACCTGAGAAAAAGTTTTATTTTTGGAAAAAAATCGGTATCAAAGATTTTTAGCCAAAGAAGCTAACCAAACAGCGGGGAAATGACAATATTTTAAGTATGAAATATGTTGGGTTTAAACAATAAGGCTTATATAATTTTGTTTATAAACAGTGTTATAGGATACTGAGATAATAAATTGCATTCAATGTCAAGAATTATCGAAAGTGTATAGACAAACAATAAATACGGAACTATACGCATAAATAATAACAATCGATGCAATTCGTATGCACACTCTGCACATACACATGTACGAAAACCTTGTGCGGCGATCGAGTAATACACAGTAGTAAATGTTGTCAAAGAAAATTTCGGCGACAGAAAACACAGTTGCCAGTCAGCTTAAACTTTCGGTTAGTGTTGTTCTCGTAAATATATTTATTTTTGTTACTTACCGTGAGGTAATGTGAGATTTTCTGGCGGTTTATTTGAAATGTGAATGAAATTGGATATGAGTTTGGCCAACGCACAAACGCAAGTGGCAATTAAACAGTATGCGGCTTCGATTTTGTTCCAATAGGTTCTTTTTAATCCCATTTCTGGAAAACAATAATTCGCATACGTTAATCGAGTTGACATGACGAGCCCATTACACGTTAAAAACCGGTTAATTTTTTGGCTAATTGGACAAACTACTAAATAACACACGAGAACGCAATAGCTGGAATGGGCAATACGAAAATACGATAAGAAAAGCGCGATTCACTCTTATATGGCTACCATCAGACACACACATCACACGCGCACATATGTTGTGTGAATACAGAGCGATCAATTGCATGAAACATTCTGAAAATATCAACAGTTTGCAAGCTAAATGACGCAATAGACTAGTGACAATTTTTTTTTTGCTATTTGTTAATTAGAATTGTCTCTAGGACTATTTGAGCGGATAATAAATTTTAGTAAAAGTGGAGCTTACGATCAATTGTCCAGCAACCTTTATTTTTAAGAATATTTAATAGTTTTAACTCGAATAATATTTGCTTCTTCCATTCGAAGTTATTATTTTCATAAGAGTGAACAATACGGTTGATTTTATGGGATAAATTTTGAAAATTCGATTAAAAATTTAAAACCCACGATAAAATCAGTAAAACATAGTCAGATTTTTAATTTAAATTGTCGACAATTATTCATCATGAATATGTAATCGGATAAGTTAAATATTAATAAAAATTATTTATTTACATAAATTTAGACTTTAATCGTGCGAGAGGGTATTTGCCAGTTCGTGTATGCATTTGATAGAGGTGAATTCAATCCAGCGAAGGTAAATATTACTAAGAAATAATAAGCTGTCAAAATAGAGATAAAAATATTTATGAAAAATCTGTAATTTCAAAATCGGTCAGAATTCAGAAAGTTATTTTATTTAATAGTAATACACCGGTAATTTTAAAATAAAACACGTTTTAATAAAAAGTTCATATGTTTGTACTTGATTTTGTCTCCATTCGTTTTAACACAAACAAGCTGTATTTATGATATTATTTGACATTTTTTTGTAAAAATCAATGTACTCCACCTTAAGGCCCACTGTTTTTTATTATACATTTAATTGATAATAATATATATAAATATAATTAATTTTCGTTTTAAGCAATGGTATTATACCAAAACAACGTACGAATTTTTGATGAATTCATAGTATTTTAAAAATAACTTTGTGTGTTTTATTAGCATTCAATAGGTCAAACTCGGTGAAAGTAAAATTACTGTTTTCGACTCATCAATGTTAAATGTTGTTTGCGTAAATAACATGACTTCGTTTTGAATTTTAAAAGAATATTGAAAACACATATTTTCAGTTAGTCGTTTGTCCTACAGAATGTGACCATTTCCAGTTTCAGATCAATGACCAGGAATAATTTTATGTTAATGTGTTATATATTATGAAATTTTATCGCATTAAATAGGTTAACTGAGTTTGATTGAATTTTGATATCTATTATTATTTATCATATTTGACATATTATGATAAATGCCGTGCGATATCATTTATAGAACTTTTTTTTTTTTTTGTCGAGTCAACGATAATGATATTTATAAACTTTTAATAAATTTGTTCCTTAATATTTTAAATAACATTATCTTGCGTTGTATTTTTAGTACCGCCGGGTGTATTAAAAAGCTATTACGCACACTTTTGTACTACCGCGTTAGAGTACTTACTTGTTCCCAAGTGTTTCCCAAAAACATTTGGTTCATAGTCATGAATACGCCGCCAAAACCAATTGCAATAATATGAAATTATAATTATCAAATACAAGGCTACCATCGGACAATCGTTTACGACAGCGCTGAAAACCAACAGGGAAGTATTCCCGACGACAAAATAAAAGACCATTATTGTTATTGTGACTAACAGCAGTATAAGCAGTAAAGTCAATTGTTGTTTTTTAAACGAACTCTGACGTAGGTAGACCGGCGGTACCTTAAAGTTTGTAATTTAATCGGCCACGTTTGCAGAGGGTGTGATGGCTGTTGTTCATCCGAGGGATGCGAAAATCGCGGACCGGCTCTCAGTTATGTCGGTTCCGTTTAAGCAACTAAAAATAATATTATCGCGAACACACTAAAATCATCGACAACAGAAAACTTACACAACGATTAGTATCTATTTTTACGTTCGGGGTGAAAAAAATTTTAAACGTCACGCACTACGAAAGCACACAGTCCCAGTTAACTACACAGAAAACGAGCACCGATTGACGGAAACGACGTCGGGTATTGTAGGCCGCACGCGATATCGTCTGCACAATATTCAAAGGCGGGTTTTCTTTATCAACTGTAAAATGACTGGTTATCGGTTCATTGTTTTACACGGTAACAACAACAACAATACATAAAATTCGCTATGCGTATTCCGTAAGTCGATCGTGAGTGTGTGTGTGCGTGTGTGCGCACCGAGACTTTTAATAGTAAGGTGCTATCGTTATAATCATACATCATGTTTATAAATATACACTCAGGTCTGTGGTGGTAGCTGGTTAACCCGTCTGCTACGCGGGGACAATGAGCTAAGTCATAATATAATTATTATATTTCAGTGTTCGCCGTTATTATTATTATTATCATATATGTGTAACATGAACCGAATATAATACAATAATACTAGTGACCTTGAGACATTTATTTCTCTTGGTCGAGTCATCGATACGGGCTACACGCCGCGGTTTTCTTTCATAGAAAAATTTAAGGGTCCAGTGCAATAACCGGTTGTCTTTACTTGTTTCGAACTTCACTTATTCAATTTCATGACGGAGAATAATTTTTCCAACAGTTCGTTATGGTCACTGGACTTTTCTAGAATAGCTGATATCGTAAAAATAGAAATGCCTAATGTACAGAGTTTTGTAGAAAAATTATCAATTTTTTTTTGTGTCTCCCGAACAATTAAAAAAAATAGAGATAACGGGTTATTTCACTAGACCCTTAATACACTGTTTATTTAAAACCGCCAGGTTCAGCGACAGTCGATTGACTTATAAGAAGATCGAGCTAAGGACAATATTATTAATATTGTGTACCGCAGTGCCTAAAAAAGCTCTATCACTAGTCCCGGTATTTGTTATTTATAAATATTAAAAATATGTTCCTGTACTTACTGGTAAAAATTATTGTGACATTACCAATCCATCTGGTAATCCACATGAGCTCAAAGACATTCGTACGAGATAGTGTAAATTTGCGTAATAATATAATTAAAAAATAATTATCCGGATTCGATTACTGATAAGTCATCGGGTGCTTGTGCTCGCGATGAGACTCATCCGCTCGTTGTCCACGTTCAGAGCGAGACGAAACTATGGACGCACAACGTATAATATTTTACATTATTATGTCTCAGGATTCAAGTTATAGACATTTGTACACTAGCGCATTCTTCTTTTCTTTACACGACGACTTCCTTTAACTTCGCACCAAGGTCGTCACTCACACGCCATCACTTGCCTATGTACCATTTCCATCCATGCGTGCTCCTGGCACACCCCCCAAAAAAACCCTATTTTTGAAAATTCATTCATGACCAATATACATTGTCTCGTTTGTCCAATATATCATGGTTCACGATTCATAGGTATTTTCATCTTGCTACTCTAACACAATCTTTGTTACCTACTCAAGTGAAATTTACATGATATTTGCAATTTACAAGCAATACAATTTACTAATAACAGTTTTTAATACTCTGTGTAATTTATTTCATTTAGGTTTCATGACATTCAGGAAACACAGCCAATAAGTCATGGTAATGAGATTCCTGATTCAATATTTTAATTCAAAAGGGTCTAAATCTAATACATAAATGTGTCAGACGAAACTATGATAAATTATAGATAGTTATAAATGAATAGACACGAAGAAGAGGCTTCATTGGACTTGGCTTGTAATCTTATCGGTTTGAACATTTTTTTTTTTTTATTGATAATTTATAGATAGCCCTCGGGCTACTTAATTTTTGTACTCAATACTTTGAGCGCAGATACCTGTAACAATGAACACGTGCCGTTTTTTGAAGGTTCGACACATTTTGTTGACTTAATAAGATACACAACGAACGTTAGCCATCGATCATATGGAAAATCTTACTAGAGACATAATTTAATTGATTTATTGTTATCTGTTTATTTTTAAGCCTTGCGCCGAGACGAGTACAAATCGTGTGTTTATTATAAGATGTGTTATAATAGCAGCAAGAACTAGTGTTAAAAAAAGAAAGAAAAAAAAACCATTGTGCGGAGATATTATACCTGCGGATGCCACAGCTGTTTGACAATTGTGTATTAAATAGTCGCTGAATAACTATGCTTGGGGACGAGAATTACCCCTTTTACGTGTACGTATATGTGTTGTTGACGACAGTTCATTAATCAAAGTACTCGGCATTCAGGTGGCTTATAACACACGGATGCCGTTGTGTGTGTGTGTGTGCACATGTATGCACATTGAAACCGCTTTACTTTTATATGTATTGTGAACGGACAGCAGGACCTAGGCGAATATCAAACCAAGTGTATGAGGGTTGCGTTGTTGTAAAGCTAAGTCGAACAACACCACATTTGATGAGCACTATAAATGTATTGTGAGTACAATTTAAAACTACGTTGAAACTGTAGAAAAGTTTTTGATATGAGTACTTTAGTTTTCCACTCACCACAAATGTTCCATCTGGAAATTTCCTTACATATCCACGCGTAATGGATATGCCAAATATTATTTTTCTATGCATCTATCGACCGACTATGAAATCACTCGAAAGACTAGTTTTAAAAAAACCAGTTTCAAAACGTTATTTTGAGTGTAAAATATACCACAAAGAGTTAAAAAAATATATTAAAATGTGATGCTTGGTTCAGGCAAAAAAAGCTATTATGAGTCTTGATTGATATGATTTTAACATTTAAATATTATGAAAAACTGCTTTTATACGGATTGAATATATAAATTGAAAACCGTAACCGTCAACACAAAATATCAAATGGTAATTGAAAATCTCAAACCGTTTGAATAAATTATTTACTAAACTGGGCATTAATTTTTAAATTGAAAAATATTCATACTTAGTCAAAAATTAGTTGTTAACATTTAGAATTAAGTTTTAAGAGAACTGAAGAAAGATTTATTTTCTGTCTTCGAAATTAATAAAGTGTAATATCGAACCAGTTTGGGTTGTATTGGTCGTTGACTTATGATTTTTTTTTTTTTTGAGTATAATGATTCATTTTTACATTAAGAGATTTATATTATTTTAGTTGAAAATTTTAAGTTCAAATTTAACGAGCTATTTTGCTTAATAAAAATTGTTATATCATATAAATAACTGAATGTGTTCAGTTAGTTATTTGAATTAAAGCTATTAGATTGTATTGTGATGATATTATCATCACCTATGACATATTTAATTTTTGAAATGTTTTGAACAACATTTTTTCTTGTAATTCTTGGAATCTACGTTAAAATATTAGCAATTTACAATTAAAAATACTTTATACACCTATAAATGTTTATAAGTCGTCAGGAATTATACGAGTTCTGTAATGTCGCATTAATTATTAAAAATCATAATCAAAAATTAATTATAATATGTATTTTTGTTATACAAATGATTGCCTTCTACCACTTAGGAAAACCAAGTGGTAATATCGGCGCTCTGTAAGATTACAGATTTGTTACGCCTTCTTGAATTTGCCCTCGAATGGATAGGATTTTTTATTATGTCACTGATGCTAAATTTTTAATCTTAATAGAAATTCACTAAAAAAATATTTACTAGTGTATAATTATGTTAAGTAATTAATTTAGCAGTAGCTGGTAGCATAATCAATTTAACCTTAAACAAATTAATCAGATCTTAACTGAAAAAACTTAATAATTGTTTTGGCTTCGATACGAATGTATTAGTTTCACAATGATGTGTTTTATTGTTGAAAAAATTTGTTAAGGACAATGTAATTAGTCATCAATAAAACTGTTAGTAAAAAATTCACACGGAATAGTACATAGCTGCATTATGTTATTCGGGTTATACGTCGCAAGAAATCACATTAGTTGAATATTTTTTCCTATTCGGTTACTTCAACAGTTTTTTTTTATGAATTTCGCATATAAATAACCTTACGTGTTTGTTCATTTAACTTCAAAAATTATTACAAGTCTCGTTTTCGATTCACTTAATTTTAATAAATATAATCATAAGACTGCAGAACAGGAAACATAATAAACAGTTTATGTCGTGTAGTCCTTATTTTAAGAATAGAAAAAACAGCTTATATTTTATTACTATAAACAAGATATTTCTTAGATGTATTTAATGTGTTCGTTTTCTGTCATTTATTAGCCTACGCAAATTTCAAGTTCGTGTTGAGCTATTTCTACAACAATAGTGTTTTTAATCTTTGACAAAAAAAAAACTGCTATATTATATAAATAGCTACTTATAACGTACAATTGCTAAATTTGACCGAAGTTCAAATGATAAATAATTTACAGATAAGCCACATGTAAAAATTTATTCGCAAATGATTCATGATCAAAATTTTAAATACAAAGCAGAAAATAATAATTACTGATTCATTTTATTATTTAAGTATTCACTTAAAAAAGGGAGTAAACACAATTTAAGGTCGTTAGCCTTTATTTACCAACACAAAAAATAGTGCTATATCTGTACATTTCATCAAATAATAATAGCGAGGAAAAACGCAAGCGCTCATTCATATTTTTAAAAAAGCTTTATGGATTTAAATCAATAAAATATTTTTAAAAATGAAAGCCCTAAAATCTTATAAACGTTAATTAAAAATTTGTTCTTATATTTAAATAATTATTTTAACGGTAACATTATAAAACTTCAAAGATTTGATTGTTATTTAATCCTATTAAATCACCTTTCCACTTGCATTTTTTGTTTGATTATAAAAAATTAAAACGTATAATATTTACTTGTTTCTTAAAATGTTAGGTCGTTGACGTCATTTAACCGCTATAGATTAAAAGATATATAATTTCAATCTTAACATTACACCGGAAGTTAAATAAAAACAATTTATTGTGTCCATTATTCATTACCATGGTAAGATCGGTTTGAAAGTAATCGAAAAAATGTCGATAGTAAGAGTTGGAACTTTAAACTTGTTTATTACTCATTTGTTAATTTTAAATTGAGAATAAAATATATTCAAATTCAATCCTGCATCATGTCCAGACTAAAATCGAGGACAGGGAAGGTCATGGTTCCCGAGTTTTTAGATTTAGGGGCTTTTAATATTTTTATTGAAGAATGTAATAAAATATTAAGATTATATGACACTTATGATACAAAGCTTTATTTAGTTTTCGACTTAATACTTTTATCTTAATTTAGGTTTGCATTGCGTTGTTCGTTATTTCTAAATAGATATAAAATTTTAGTGAAATAATTTTTAGTGAAATTTTTGTTTTAAACTCCTAAGTAGCAGATTATTAATAATTTTTAATTTTTATAACAATAATTTTTTCAATTTATATAAAAGTTGTGATTAACTTTAATCAAATATAAAAGTTTAGTGAATATTTCAAGGTCATTTGGTATTTTGAGGGACTACGTATTTAATATTTTATTATCATTGCAATGGATTTAATAATTTTTGCTTCGTAGAAACTTCATGAATCAGCATTATGCCATTGAACACAATATTATAGAGTTTTGAGTCGCAATACGCCTTCAAAAATTGTCTGTAAACTCATTGTGGGTACGTTAACATTTTTCCATGCTAGTACTCAAAGGAATTGACATAATATATTGTGAATGTTACTGTTATTATATCAATTAGACCTTGTACATACATTTACTATTTATTAAGTCTGTCGTTATTTTTTATTATTTAAAGAGTTCGTCTCGAAAAAAAATTTATATGAAATCATTTTAATTTATGTGATTATGTATGATCTTTGAATAATTTAAAAGTCACATTGACATGCTCATGTAAAATATTTGAAAATTTCATATAAAAACATTCAGTATATTATCTACGTAAATAAAGTAACAAGTAGGCAAGTAATTCTACAATAGTGGGCGTCGATGGGGTTGTTTAAGGGCCATTAAAACCTTTTGTTAATATTTAATTAATCAAAAATATTAGTTAGATAACAATTCAATTTATTTTTTGTATTTGGAATAATCAGGATTATTTGGTAATAGTTAAAATTAAATTTTTTGGTTATTTTCCAAAAGCTGATTTGTCATTTCAAACAATTTTTTAAAAGAGCAAAAACAAATAAAAAATTTCAAAGGTGTCATATAGAAATTGACATTTTCAAAGTATAAAAAAATGTCCAATAAAATCGTAATTTTTTTATCTAATGGAGATAACATATTTTTCTATTCAATTTATAAATATCCATTTTTGTGTCATTTGGATATAAACTAGAAAATTTAGTGGCATAATTAGGGATTCGTTATAAAGGGATAAACATAAAAAAATTTTTAGTTCCTTCTCAAATCGAAAAAAATTGAATCTTTACCATTTAATTATTTTTGTCGTGAAGAATAAGAACTTCCTACTCCGTAATTATGCCATTGAATGTAAATAATTTATATGACTTAATGATCTACATTTCATTTTATTAATAATGACAACGAACGGTTCTATTAATTTACCAATATAGTTATCATTTTTTATTAGTAGATTTTTAGTAATTTATGTAACATTTAGTTAATAAGGTAATAATTAGATTAGTTAATTTTATATGCGCCAACTAATTTTAGTTATCCAACTTAAATAAAATTACTTTTGCTTTAGTGTAAGATTACTGGGAGTATTTAGATTTCCCTAGAATGAGATTTTTAAAAATATAGAATTCTTAAATATTAAATTGCATGTTTTAAAAATATTTATTTAAGTTGACATTTTCAGTTGGGAAATATTTTAGCTAAACGTAATATTGTTTAACGTTGAATCAAAATTATATAAATTATTCTGTGTTTTGAATTCGCTAGTCCATATTTTGCTGATGTTTATACTTATTTGGGTTGTATGTGTTTGACAGTTCATCAACTTGAATATATTATTTTCTTTTCAGAAAAAAAACTAACAGTTAAGTTGTAAGAGTAAACAATTTAAAAATTAAATTGAATTACAGTCAAATTCATATTAATAAAGTAATACTTACTTATACTACTGTTATCAAATAGTTCATAAATATATTTTACAACGAATTAACTTTTTGCTAAAGTTTACATATATTTTAAATACTTTTAACGTTTTTCGTGACAATGATTATTATTGTAGTTTTTAAAATAATTTAATAATTTATTATACTTATGACTTAGTAAATCTGAAACCGCACATTAACCACTTAGTTCTATACTATTTTGTTCAGTTATAAACTATAATAAACAAAAAATTGTTTGTTTTATCAAGCGTAAACAATTATTTTTAAAGATAAATAATTTAGTTCTATAATAATTATTGAATTAAATATAATTAGAATTAAATGCAATTATTATAAATAGTATTTTACTATTTTATTTTTAAATTTAATTTGCCAATTGATGGTTAAAGAAAATGAAACTTTTGTACTTAATGTCCATTTAATCTTTACGGTGAAATATTGTATTTGTGCTACAATTCTTAGTACTGATTCAGATTTTAAGCAGCTAATACATAATAATAAACGAAATAATGCGATTTAATTTGCATCATATTTTTTAGAAAAATAGCTTTAAACATGTTCAATAATTTTGTTTTGTTTTAAATTAGGCCATGCAGTAAAAATTTCTTTGTTAGTGTTAACAAGTTTCTTGGGATGAACATAATTGTTTTGTTCAATTAGTCTTAAGAATATTTTCGAAACTATACGTAATTTTTAAAAGAATAAGAAGCTTAATAGCTGTCAGATTGATCATATATGTTTATTTAACATTCTTTCTTACAATTGTATTTCTATTAAATTCTCTCCTACTTCATTTGAAAACTCACAAGGACGTTTTTTTTATGTTGATTAGGATCGTATTCAATGGCGTACATTTTTTTGCCTACTGTATTTGTTATTTTGTTTGGGTTTTTGTTGAGTGGTAACGTTAGCGTGATTTTTAGAATTAATTATATAAAAGTATTATGTTTATTAATCTTGTAGGGGTTTCTACACAGGATACTTGTACAATTGTATTTAGTTGTAAAATATTACACGCACTTAGAATTTATGGTTCATCTGTTCTAAAGGAGTAATGGTTTATGTAATAAAAAATGAATGTATGATTGGCACCAGATATCTTTTACATAACATGTTAATTTAGGTATTCTTCTGAAATTAAAACAATTCTAATAATTAATTCTACCCTAATGAGTTATAAGGGTGCATTTCCTATTTAATGATTTATAAACAGGGACGTTATATGCGCTAAATAGGGTATACATTTGCGTACCTAAAATTTGTGTTATTATTTTATGTTCTTAAGATATTGTGTGATTCTTTCCACCACTAGCACACCCTAATGGCCTTTTTGATAACAATGAATTACAAAAAAATAATATGAAATATTACTACATATAAATTTAAACTTTAGTGTGCTGATAAAACATAAACAATTATTAACTTTTATCAGAAAATCAAAGTTTTTTTTGTATATGATATCTACTAGATCTCTGCACTAGCCGGCCTAATTCAATACAAACGGAAATTTTTAACCCGATATTATAGTCGAGTTGAATTGAATTGGACCATATTATTTTTAGTCTTGGTAACGTCTAATTCAAAAATAATAAAACCAAGTCGTATCAATCTCGGGCCATTTGTAAAATTTTTCGTATTGAATTGGGGATAAGTGATTTGGACAATCCAAATTAGTCGAATTTTTTTTAATTTCTCAACTGATCTGATCGAGTTCTGGCCACTTTCAATATATTTACAAGTATAATCGGAATTAGAAAATTAATGAACAGCCTAATAATTAAATAACATGAAAATAAAATTACAAAAGCAAAAGTAATTTATTAGGTATATTTCTGGTGAGATTGGGTTATTTATTTGATTTTTGTGTTGGACTGATGCAACACAAATAATCCAAGAAATAACTTGATTTTATCCACATAAGATTGGATATATTTCGAATCGAATTGTTGTTTGGATTCTTTTTTTTTACACTATATTAGGTAGGACTTACTAAATAATGTTCTAACTAGGAGTAATTTTCCGATTTTTAAAACGGACTGGATTTGGCCAATCCAGCAGTTAGTAATTCAGGACTTACTTTTAATTTATCGGATCGGATTAGATTCATATTTTTTAACTCATACAGCAGGGCTTTAATATCTACATTAATAATAATTTAAATTTGAAAACACGTTTTTATTACAAAGTAGTATTTTGATGTACGAATTAAAATGAATCAAAACATATGAATTTGATAATATTTCATTGATCAAAGTTTTTGTATATTTTTTTAACTATATGAATAAAATTTATGACGCAATGGATTTATATTTTTAGTAAAATAAAATAGATAAAAAAATATACACTGATATTTCTATCATACTAAAATTTAAGGTTAAAGGTTTGATTAACAAACGGTTTGGCCTTAATGGAAATCTTGTGTGATATAAAATGAGTACGTAATTTTTTAATAGTTACTATTTAGAAAACGTTCCATGATGTTTGACATAGCTCAAGGTTGAATTTAATGTTTAGTATTGAATAGTGTATTACTGATTTTTCTTTTAAAATTAAAATTAGTACTTTTATAAAATTAAGAGTTATATAGTACAGGTTTTTTTTAGTAAAGTTTACAAATTTAAATATTAATAATCAATATAATTTCACTGACGTTATATGACATTGATCTTATTTGAATTGGTTTATTTTAAGGTCAATATAATATTTTATCCATAATTTAGTTTTTATAATACTTTTGTATTATATAATTCCGAACGATTATAAACTAATTAGTTTTATATGATCTCTATATGATAAAAACCGATTTTAGTCGGTTGGGTTGGTCCAAAAAAAATTACTTTGATTTTAATATGATCAAAACATAGCATACAAAGTCAAGTAGTAGGTATTAGTTTAATTTCTTTGTTTAAAAATAAACTTGGTCATCTAATAAAATATTAAAAAAAAATTTAGTATGGATTAATTTATCTAATAGCACTGAATGAAATGTAATTGTTTTAACTTATAACAATGTAATGTAGTAATACATTTACAATCATTTTTAATCATTCCACTGTATTCGCCTAATAGTGTATACAAATTAATAGCGGTGAACTTATTTTAATACTATTAAATCTTAGACAAATAAAACAATATTTATTGGTTAATGGTTATGTATAAGTATAATAATCTCTAACACTAGTGTGTACAAATGTATTTGAGCCTTAAAAATGAGCAAAGTCTAACTTTTTCATTTGACAACTATATGAATATTCATTATATTCTGACAAAAAAATAGCGGTTGATTTGAGAACAACTTAATAGATTATTAAGTAAAATATATTATATTGTGTAAATAATCTATTGTATTTCAGTGAAAAAAAATACAAATGAAAAGCGTTGAGGGAACTATTGTCTTACTAAGTTTATAAAAGCCAATTTGTTGATCTCAAATGTCTAAAGATACTGATGGAAACAATAAAATTTAAGGTATATTGAAATTTAAATAAATATCTTATTATAAAATGTTTGGATTGATAATTAATTGAGCTGTAGTTTCAGAAGGACTCATGTTGAAAAAAATTGATCTTTGTAATTTTGCTTTTTCTTAACGTTAGTTTCTTAATGTTAGTTTATAAAAAGATAGAAAAAGTGAAATAAAAAAAATTTTTTTTTTGAAATGCACTCTTTTGCAACTGGACGACTGGATTATTATATTAATCCAATAAAAAATTTTAACCAACCTTAAATAGGGTTTTTGTGTAACATTATATCAAGACAGAAAAGCCACTTAATACATCCATTTTTTTAAATATTACCTAATAAAAAGTCATTGATTTAACTAATAAAATACTGACAAACACATTATACGTACTATACACATTATTTTAGTACAATAAATTGAAACTTCATTGTGAATAAAAAAAAAATATGTATCCATGAATATAATTTAAGAAATAAAACTTAAAAAATGAAAATAAAACCACTACTTAATTTTGTTTTTAATTTTTACATAAATTTTAATATTAATAAAGCCTGGAGAGTTTCTTAATTAACAGGATACCAGTATAGTCGGAACCTAGCATTCTAGGAATCCCGGCATAGTAGACTAAAGTATAGATTGAAATTTGTCAATAATTAATCAGTCATCACTAGCATAAAATCGCACCGATCCGATTGTTTATAAAAAAAGATAAGAAAAAAAATTGAAAAACATTAACAGAAATTAAACAAAATTTGGTTTTTTCCGCTTATTAATTAAAGAAAAAACAATTTCAGAAGTTTTTTTTTGATCTTAATGTAACTTTTTGAAGCTTTAATTTGATTTAGGTTTAAAGATTGTAAGAGTCAAGCAACTTTAACAATATTTGAATAAAAATAATGCTGTAAACTTATTTTGCTATGTTTAAATAGTTTTTGTTTTTTAGGGTTTTTATTGGACTTTTATAAAATGCATATTAAAACAAAAACCACTAAGTTTTTATGAGGTACAATGGGGATGCGGTATAGTTGGAAAAGGTATAGATAATATCTGATAGTGATTTACCATGTAAATATCATAAATCAATTCGATGGGAATCTGTTAAATTTTACAATTATTTGTATTTTAATAATTTATTTTATAGTTGTTATATTTAAAATTTCACTCAAATGTTATATATATAGTTATTTGATATTAAGTATATATATATAGTGTGATTATTTTAACGCTAGCCACTCGATTTCTCTTAAATAACTTTTTTTTGTGTTTTATTAGTTACATNTTTATAGTTGTTATATTTAAAATTTCACTCAAATGTTATATATATAGTTATTTGATATTAAGTATATATATATATAGTGTGATTATTTTAACGCTAGCCACTCGATTTCTCTTAAATAACTTTTTTTTGTGTTTTATTAGTTACATATGTATCTAAATTTATCTGTTATAAATAATTATTGTTATTCATCCCTTATATTTTATAGGGGTATCAATTTTATTTTTTTAAATATACGTATTTCACTAGCTTATAACATAGAAAATTATTGATTAAAACAACTTTTGGATTACTATTCCAAAAGCCATTAAAAATTTAAAGTATAGACTGGATGTGAGGAGTGAGGCTACTGTTACTATCAATAAACATTTCTTGGTCTCACTCCTCATTTCGCCTCGGTATAATAATGTAAATAATTTCTTAAATACTTACAAAGGTATAACCTATTTTTTAAAGTAATAAAATACATATTTAACTAGCTTATTTATGAGAAATTGGCTAATGAAAATAATGACTAGACGATATATATTTTTGGATCATTAATTTAGAAGAATTGAATATGTTTTTTGTCGTGGTAGGAGGATGTCGCAGATGAAAAGTACCTAATGATAAAAATAACTACTACTCGCACTTCACATACAGTCAATATTTTAAAATGTAAATAATTTAAAAAATATGGTTTAAAAGTTGTCATATTCTTGATATATATATACAAATAGATGTAGCTTGAAAAATTGTTTGTGGGGCTAAAAATATAAAAACCGGTTTTTTCTAACTCGAAAAGAAAAACAGAAAACAAATGTTTTAATATATTTAACAAATAATGTCTATACTAATGGCTGACGTGTAAAACATGTAATTTTAGTTATTTAGTGTCAATTTTTCTTTATATTATAATATGTAGTACGTTATTGGTACAAGACATCGTCAGTGGCGGAGAAAGAGTGCTATAGGGGCTTAGCCCCTGAGTTTATAATGAAGCCTCCTCTAGAGATTAAGCAAAATTATATGCATTATTATTTAGGAATTAATATTTTGTGGAAAGGATAAAATTTAGCTCTCCTCTCAAGAATAAAAGTTGACCATCTTACAAATATACTAAAAACTATCATTTAATGGTACAAGGTTGAAAGAGTCAGTAAAAAATGGTATGTAGATGATGTATAATGTGTTAATTTTTAGAATACTCGTTTACGTGTGATAAATTTAAATATTTTATATTTATTTAGTGTGTAAATGATAAAAAAATGTATATTAAAATAGTAATTATAGTATCTGAACTTAAATCTTATTATGAACAGATTTAAAACATAAAATTCGGTCAAAGAAAGTACATGATTTTATCGGCTTAACAAATTATAGTATCAGTGAGAAGCTGAGGAGGTATTAATTTTAACATAACGTGTTTATTTATTTATTTAACGCTTTATTTGATTTGGTTTATATCAAGTCTTTAAGTAATAAATTATTTAAATTATGAAGGATTTTATTATGTAACTATTAGAATATCATTATTTATAAATAAAAACCTAACGTTTTTTTTATATTTAATAATAATTTGGGAAATATTGTTATGTAAAAATTGTCTGCACTGATTATGTCGATATTATCATTTATCCCGGCGATTGAGATAAAAATGTTATTGCTTTTTTTCCTACAAAATATAATTGCAGCAATTGTTATTCGGACTGTACAAGCGTGGTATAAAGTAAAACGTTTTAGTATGAATTGTGTAAACGATTAATTGTAATACAAAAATCTGCTATAATTATTATAATGTTAAGTGTTACAAAAAATATTTTGTTTACCATCAATAATTGCGGGTTACCAACAACTACATTTGTTCGAAGCCTTAAATCATGGACCGGAGGAATAAAATATTTTGGATTTACTTATTATCCTAGGTAATTTTAAGGTTTATCTTTAGGATATTAACATTTTATTTTTAATACACATTATACCAACATACACATTAAGGTCTAAAATGTTATGACTGAATATAACATTTGATCTATTGTATATTTTGCGTTACTTTTTTTTAAAATAATACTTACAGTTTTTGACCATATTAGAAGTATATTTTTTGTTATTTGTCTCTAATTATCAAACAAATAAAATAAATTTCCACTTTACTTTCAAAACATTTTGATGGATTTATAAAAACATTAGGATGAGTGCTTATTGAGTTAAATAACATTTAATGTATAGAGTGGGTATGTATACAGCTATATGCACATATAGGGTATGTAGCACAGTCAGGGTACTCATACACCAGTAAATGTACCACTCTATTGAAATATTTACTTATTCTAAAGTTATAAACCAATCAACATTTGTAATAAAAGGAATAAAAATAGGTATTTTAAAAATTTAATTTTTTTGTTTATTAAAGACAAATAATAAAATATTTGCTTTTAATATAGACCAAAATTGTAAAAATTATTTTAAAAAAAGAGCAATGAAAAATATTTTGTAGATTAAAAGTTATTAGATTTGTCAAGATACTGTGAACACTCTGTTGATAAATATACATTTGGATGATATAAAAATATTCATCGATCACTCAATTATTCAAATCTCAGTTATTTGTATATTATATTTTCCAAAAATTAGAAGGTATATCTGTTTATTCTATTTTAGACTATTAAGGAATATCTTAAAGGTTTAAAAAAATTATAATAAGGAACCAAAGTTAATAATTGTAGGGCTTGCTACAAAAATGTTTGGAGAGTTCTCAAATTTTTTTTACTTGAAAAAAAACATTCTCATTGCTTATTACTTGTTTAGTGTGGTCTAACACCAAATGCATATACCTCATGCAAATCCTGTGAAATTATAATATTTGTTAAAATAAACATACTGAAATTATATCAATGCTATCTCGTTCAAAGGGCATATATTAAAATATAATAATTTTTTTGGTATGAAAATTTAAATAAAAATTAGATGCGATTAGTGGTAAGAGAACATCTACAAATTTAGTGATTTTAAGATTCTTATTCACCTATTTAGAGAATAAGATAATCTTAGTTTAATGTTTACACATTTTTAATATATACTATTAACAATAAGAATAATCAAAACTCTAAATTTTCAAAGCTAAAAATAATTTGTTAATATTTTTTGAGAAGAGTATATTGTAAAAATTTGCATATTACATATTTTGTAAAAACACAATTTTTTTAAGCTGATAACTTAAAAGAAATGATAATGTGGGCGAATCTGTGAAGTTTATGATAAGGATAAAAGCGAGAAAAAAGAAGAAGAATACTTTCATTTTATTAGCTTCTGAAAAAAAGATGAAATTTGATGTATGTCTTTTGAACAAGACAGTATCAATATTATTAAATTCATTTTATTAAATTACATTTATGTCCCTCTTACGTTGTATAAAAAAGAATGATTATAATTTTAATAAACTATATATTTATGATAATGACTAAAGTTATCAAATCTAGTTAACCATATCCAATTAGGTTTCAATTATTTTGTTTATTCAACATTATTTATTTACTATACTTTAAATATACAAGATACTTAGCCCATAAATTTTATTAGGATTATAAAAAATAAAATTCACTGGAAACCTAGACCCTTTAACTTTATAGGGTTGAAAATTATCATATAAGAGTTTTTTTCTATAATCTTTTAGAAAATGTTAATCAATGAAGATTGAAGTAAAAAATTCAAATGTTGTTGAAAATTTGTTTTTGATGCGTAATTAAAGAAAATGAAAAACATTTATTTATACAAGATACTTTTAAAAAAATGTTTAAATCATTTATTTCATGTTAATAAGAATTTAGTAAATTTTTTATTTTTAAATAACACATTTTTTTTTATAAAATAAATTTAAATTTATTTGTTTAATATATTAATTATTAATTTGAAATGTGTAAATTATTGATATTATTATTTTTGTTACAGAAAAGGAGAAAAAGACCCTCCATATGAACCTACTAAGTTGCTTATGGTAAAAAGAGTGAAAAGTTATTCATTTAATCCATATTGGCAAAAAAAAATATTGTCAGATATGGGCTTAGATCATAAGGCAAGTATTATTTATAAAATTAGTTTTCAATTTTGTTCATGTATTTGTATTTTAATTTTAGTTGAGTGATATTGCTATTGTAAAAAATACACCTGAAATGAATGCGCGTTTATGGAAAGTTAAACACCTTATAAAAATCACACCAATTCAAACCCCTGACGGATTGCCTGAAGATGGAGATTATTGGGGAACTCATTTAGATGAAGAAGGTATATTTAGAGTATCGCCTAAATTTCGACCTGATCAAAAACGGTTAGAAGTTACAAATGAATTTGAAACACTTGAAAAACGAGTAGATCCTAAAACTGTTGAAAGACATTGTCAGCTTAAATGGTTAAATCCTTGGTCAACCATTGTGTAAACAAAATAATAGATATGTAGTGATAATAAATATGATGTATACAAACTTAAACATTATTTATTATTTTAATTAAAACATGTTATTTGTACATAAAAAATAAATAAATATATTAATAAAGAATAAAATTGTTCAAGTAATTTTAAATCAAATGTATTATAGTTTTTATAATGCATTATAATGTGTTTTACATTACTTAAATGTTACTGTTGAGTGATTTGTAGAAGAATATAAAAAAATCTTTACTTGAATAAATTTAATAACTTATGATATATTGTCTACACTTTTACATACATACAATTGTTCCATATAAGATAATAACTAGTAATATTCAGTTCTTTAATCAAATAATTTTAGAATAATAATAGGAATTTCATTTGTTTATTATAATAAACAAAATTACCAGTCAAATTGTTTTTAGCAGCTCCTATAGTTTTATGTTTTATTATCAGCTAGCGAAATCTGTGGCATTTGTGTATTGATGTAAAATTTAGATCGATAAAAATTAGAACTATTATTATTATTGTAAAAATGTAAGCTATAAAAAAATGTTTAATTGTAAGTGGTAAATTCTTAGGAAATTGAAAAATGTTGTAATTAAAAAATTAAGAAATCACAATAATCAAACATTTAATGTAATGATTTAAAAGCTGTACCAATATTCAAATTGAGCATTTATATAATAGTCATGAAATTTATTACCAAGGTAAAAGATAATTTAGTTAATATTAAATAATATTAACTCTAAAATATAAAATACATATAATATATGACTCTAAAAAAATTGAATTTTTTTAGAGTCATATTCTTTTCTTATATAAAGAAAAACAATTTACATTTTATATTAAGGAACTAATTTACTGATTTAATTGAAATTTAATAAAATATTTAAAGTAATAACTAATTTTTTATTCTCTTAAAAATTAAATAACAAAAATAAAAATTCTAATATATTCTTAAACTACCATAGATTAAACAAATTTTAAAATATTAACAGTTATTATGGTAATTTGACAATATTATACAAATTTGTAATACTTTATATAAATGCAATTTTTTTGTATTAATGAAAAATAAAATATTTAAATGGTATACAAGGTACTGTTTTTGTACATAACTGTTGTGTAGCAGAGCAACTTAAAGTAAAATCAGTCTATTAAAGTAGTCGAATACAACCATTTATAAGTATCTATGAGATAAATATAATAAAAAAAATATTAATTAATCTAGATAGGCAAGGTAATGTAATACCATTGTTTGAATTTCACATTTCATTAATATGATTTAACCAAATATCATCAAATATATACTTTCTATAAAATTTAATTTGATCTCTTTGTCTTGATTACATTTTTCTGATTTTATCTGCAAATTATAAGAATGATTTTTTTTTTATAATATAATAATTAATGCGATATAATTTTATATTTAACATGGTTAAAGTAGTAATCACTATTTAAATAAAACTAATTTTGTGTGTAATGACTTTCGCTTACTATAGACCTATCATTTACTTATATTTTAAAAAACCTTTTTAATTAATTAATTCTTTAATATGTATTTGTTAATAATAAATTTTGTGTATATTTCAAAAGTTGATTATCAATTTTAGCACTTTTTCAAAAACGCAAAACAAAAGAAAAATTCAATTATAATTTTTTTTTATTGAACCATACTTTATCGTTAAAATAAGCATATGATTTTTTGATGGATATAAATCCCATTAATGTATTTTTGAGATTGAACAGTTTTGGAATACAATTCACGAAAATCATCAAATATTAGAACACTTTCAAATTTAATACATCTTTAGAATCTTTTCATACTAGTTTTAGTAATTTGTATTTATCGAATTTAAATTTAAGATTTTTACTTATAGATCATTTACAAAAATAAGTACTTGCATTTCTTTTTCGAACATAACTTGAGCTTGACTTAACTTCGACGTTAGATCTTTTTCTAGTTATCTTAGATAGTTTCCATTTGTTAAAACTGTTAAATTCCAACATTAAATTAAAAATATTTAATATTTAAATACTAAGTATCAATTAAAATTATTACTTACATATTTTTTCCAGATTGCTTTTCTGAAATATTTTTTCTGTTTAATGACAGTGATCTAGATTTAGGATTTAATAAAGTTTTTCCCTCGCCATAGGATATCTAAATATTTATTTACATTTTTATATTGAATATAGTAAATTTCATAAATTACGTTATTTCAAAACACCATTATATAAATTCTTAATTTTAATAGTGATCAATTAAAAAAATCAACTACTTCTTTAGATTGTTGTGTTTTTATTTATAAAGTAAATTTTGATTTATTGCTTTTTTACCTTTTTGTATTCATACGAAGGCGTGTTATCAGATGAATCCAATTCATCATTTAACAATTCTAAACATGACGGTCTCTTGTTAATTTTTGAAATAACTCTCGATTCTATTGGAATGTAATGAGAACTATTATGGAATTTTTCGTTGGAATCCATCTAAAATAAAAAAATTTTATGTGAAATTTTTAACATTTTAATTATTAATATTTTTATTTGAGCTATCGATACATCGTAATTAACTAAATTATTATAATATAATCAAATTTTTTTAATATGAAATAGGAAGTTTTCAATTAGGTTTGAATCAACCACTATAAAAATGTTTTTTAATGTCACAAAAAATATAATGGATTAAGTATTTATTATATACATATTTTCTATTAGTGTCTATTAACCTATTAGTTTTTTAATTATCTTATTTTTACATAATTTATTTTTAATGAAAGAAAAATGTTTGATATCTTTAAACTGTTATTAAAAATATATAAGTCAACAAACCTCTGCTGACAATGGTGAAGTCGTACTGCTATTTGGAGTGCCCCAGAATTCTTCGCTAGATGCATCGTAACTATATTTATCGTCTTTTACTGGTAAACAACAATTAGTTATTGGACAAAAATCTTCTGACTGACTAGAATGTAAAAAAAAAAACCAAACGTGAATACCAGTGTAATTTTTGGGAGTATTCATTTTCCGTACTTTATTTTATTAATTTTATAAATTTACTTAGTACTAGAAACATAAAAAATGTGACTAAACTTGCAATTTTTCACTTACCGGTAATCAGTTGTCGAACAATACTCTGCTTTGTCTAAGCTATCTGTTGAAATATTTTGATTAACGTATTTGTCAGACAAAATTTCTAGAGGTTGGAAAGCAGTCTGTGGCTGAAAATAGTATTGATGTTCTTGAAGAAGTTTTTGCTGATTTTTTTTGTCTGATCCGTTATTGTTTCTGTCGATATCTAACTGTTTACAAGTATTCAATGATGAATTGGAAATACAATCTTTTGGTATAAGCTTTTCATTGAAATCTAAGAATGTGTCTGAATAACGATTGTCATTATTATTGTCACAAGGTTTTTGACACTTATCACATACGTTTATCGGAACGACAGTTTTCTAAATATAATGAAATAAAACTTCAATAAGCGATCATCTTTTTATTAAGAGATTGATTTTAATTGAAAGATCAGTAAAACTGAAGATGTCAAAAGTTTGAATATTCCAATTAGTGCCGCAACTACAAAGCTTGAGGCTTGTGTGAGAATGTGCCCCTCTTCTCCCCCGCAAGAGATTTAAAAATAGTGGACCCCATTTTAATGTAAGCAGATCTCCAAGTCTGGTTTAAATCCAATATTTATACATTTTTTCAACAAAAATATTTGAGAATTATAAAATTAAAAATTCTTACAATAGTAATAAAATGAGCGGGAGGTTGTTTATTGATGAGGGACTTAGATTGTTTTTCTAGTAATTCATATATTTAATAATCATGGAAAAAAAGAAAATTTGAATTAAAGCTTAATAAATATATACTATTCTAAAACTGGTCTTTAAGTCACAATATTAATTGTAGTTTGTTTTAAAGTATCTTATATATTATTTTTATAATTATTTTACTGATAAATGTCAAGACTGATTCAAAAGTGATATAGGTTTAATAGACTTGATTTCTCAGGCTTAAAAAGTTGCTTTAAATCTTTTAGGTAACTTTATACAAAGGGTAATAGATACGTAATGGTGTTAGAAATTTGTACTATTTGAAATTGATTATATTATTAAATCTTATGTTTTATTAATGATTTATGTGTGTAAAATTGACCTACTTGACTGTCATCAGGGCTGCTGACTATTGAAAATGTTTCTGTTGACACGAATTCTTCTTCACATTCGTCACGACTTCTTATTCTACGTTGAATTTCTGCTTTTTTTATATTCATTTGTTCTTCTGTCCAACATTCGAAATCGTCTAGTTCATTTTCCGAACCGGCTACGTCACACTCAGGTTCGTCCTCAGCAGCACTTTTGAGTTCACCCTTTATCCATTGAGATATGTGCAATGCTTTGGCTTTGTTGCATGTCGTTTTGCTCAGTCGGAGACATTTTTCATCTATCAACAATGACACTGCCAACGACTACAAAATCCACATAAATTTCCTACTAACGGCCGTACATCAAGTCTAACTATAATGCGTTTTATCAAGCGATGCATTATAACAAATAACTATTAAACATATTAATTAGAAACGTGCTCATAGATTGCGAAAAATATACGAATTGTGCATTAGTGTAATAAATAAAATATGACCAATTAAAATTGAAGGAAGTACTGCAGTTGTGTTCTATTATTAAGAAATTTTAAACATTTTAATTGTTTTTTTAATAGTTCTTTGTTTTTAGATAATATTTCAACATACATTTCCTTGTAACTAAATGATCTTATAAAGATATTCATTTTAGAAAAACAATAATAAATTTTATTAAAATAACACCATTAGTTTATTTATTAATTTGTTTTATTTTAAAATTATCACTTGTTTTATTTAAATAAGAAATGACACTTTTGAAAAGTTATTAAGTGATTTTTTTTTTATTTACAAATAATATGTTACTATGAAATTTGAAAATATAACATAAAATATGTGATCGAGTCGTTTATTACATACTTACCATCTTAAAAAAAATATTTCTATTTCTTCTTGTTTATATAACAAACTATATAAACTCAATATAATGATTGAATTAAATGAAATCATAGGCAGAACTTATTGAACAAATACAAAAGATAGTACTACTTATTATGCCAATTATACCATACTTTTTTGCATTATTGAAGTGTTTACATTAAGATTTTTTAAATATATTTCCCTCGTTATGATTCTATTAACTAACTGCCTGTATTATTTAAATAAATTATTCATTTTACCTTGAAAATTGGTTTTAAGCTCAACTTTTTAAGATAAAAATACTTTGATAACAATCAACTGTGATGTGCATGCTGATGAATGAAATTAGGGTTACAGACATATTATTTTAATTGAAAAAACTTATATAATTGTATAATATAAAATTTGTATACATGCATTGTACACTGTGCTTCCAATAAAAAGTAACTATTTTTGCTGTAAAAATCGAGTCGCTGCAAATAATTAGTGTAAGTAATAAAGTTTTACAAAAACTGCAACATAATAACGATTTTTTTTTTTTTATACCGTAGAATGGTGTAAATAAAAACAATTTTGAACTTCCAAAGCTTGTAGCGCCTTTAAGAAAAATCATAGAATAATGAAAAATATCTCAAAATATGAATCTTATTGAGTACTTAAAATTGACGCTGGAATAACTTTTTTGATTCATTCCAAAATTTATCCTTTTTTTAAGTACGATGTATCTATTTATCATTCAGGTGTAAATAAAAACATATACTATATTTTAATGTTTTGTGATTAAACTTAGGTAATAGAAACAAAAACAAAATGTTTAAAAATATGTTTTTTTAATTTTGTCGCAGAAATACCGAATTAATCTCTAAATTATAGTTATAATTATCTATAAATCCGTAAAAGGTATGAATTTAATTATAGACCTTATGTCGTGGATAACCTTACCTTGATTATGACAAAGAAAACAATAACCAAAGACCATTCTCCAACATACGTAAAGAGCAAATACAATTTAATCAGTCTTAGTTTTTATTCACCCCATTCTACGGAAGATAGTTTATAATTTTTTCTGAAAATAACTTTTATATTATATAGTTCAGTATAGAACAATGATTTTACATATATATTCACCTTCGATTATATACTTTTTATAATAGTTTGATCAGTTTTTACCGTTGCTTTTTAAGTAAATTTTTTTTTTGATAATAAAAAAATAAGCTACAAAGTAGGTTGTGAAAACATTTTTATTAATTTCAATTGTACAAACATTTAATTTTTATCTACTGAAAAATAAAAATACTAATTTATTTTCTATAAAAAACGATATGTAGACATTTTATAATAATAATAATAATCCACCAATTAATTTATAACACGTTCAGTAATATCCTCCAGGACGGAACATTGATTCTTTTATGATTTACTCACAGTCTAAACGTAATGTCATAATTACAAGTAGTATTAAAAAAATACATATCATACGAATTCATTACAATACACTAGTATTACTTTTTCGATAAAAAAAATTAAAAGTAATTTGAGTTAAAACTAAATTACTAATTTACAATTACTTTATTATTGTTAAAAAAATATAATAAATATTTGTTTCTTTTGCTAAGGTATAGAAGTCATAAATTTAGATTAAAATAGAGGACATTGTATGTATTAGAAATGTATTTTAAAAATTTTCATACACATAACATGTTAGACTTAGTCTAGTATGCGTTTGACTAATGACTAATTCAAAATTGTTGCTATTTAATTCATTTTATAGTAAAAGAAATGTAACAGTTACGAAGATTTTTTGAACGAATGTAAATTCGTTTGGTAATTTCATTATTTATACACAGTAAAACTTAAGTAAATACGCTTATATAAAATCTTTACTATAAATGGATGGAAATGTGGTAAAGTGTGTTTTAGCGATGAATAATACAAAATCCAGTAAGTATTTGTTATAATGCATGTATACAATTATAAAGCATTACTATGATTTTCATATTTTAATTATATGTTAGACTTTCCCCACTTCGAATAGATGCTGACGCCCTGTGCCTTTAAAAATGTACTCTAAACTAGAAGGCAAATAAAATGTAATTCAATTTTATGACTTTTAAGCAACTACTCAGCTACATAGTTATATACATTTTTAATCAAATATATTATAAAGCTATTTGTAACAACGTTTCATAAGATTTAAAGGCCACTTAAAAGTATGAAATGTGGTTACGAATAGCTGAGGGAAAGTGCAATAAAAAAATAATTAAACTATCAACAAAATAGTTCTACAGTATTACTGATGATTTAAATAAAAATTAGACTATTTATATTACACATGACAGCATGCATTTTGTTATAAAATATTAATCGTGCTCGAGTAGAAGTCCAAATATAAACAATTATAAATACTACTAGGGTGGTTAGCTGTTGACTCGTTTTGGAATTTTCTTTATGCTGCTATGAGATATATCTATCTTTTTAAAATTGTATTAGAAATTCTATATAAATTACTAATTTGTTGCTTAAAATCTCTAACATTAAACTATCGATTAGTTAATACTATGCAGGGGTCTATTGTAGAAAATTAAGCTTGAAATAAATTGATTCTCTGATAATATTATTAAACATTTTATAAGAATATTTTTAAAGAAGAAATTGTCTTTTAAATTATTTAAGTGAAACATATTGTTTTAAATTTGAAGTGAAATTTCTTTATTTCGAAATTTGCCAGCGAAAAACTTTATGTATCTTTGTTAGTTTTGAGCACACTTTTACAACAAGGGTCCCCAAGATCCCGACCTTAAATGCATTAGAACCTAGTCGGACTACAGCATCTATTAGGCCGGGGAGCCGAATCTCAGGACGGTGGACGAACGAGATAACGATCGGTTGAGCCGGTGGGTGTAGTTGGGTTGCTTAGCGATTGCTTAGACTGTACCTTTAATCTGTCGGTGCTAACCCCATCGTCTAGGGTGGCTAACGAATTGGCCAACAGATCGTCAGGAGAGTCCAGCGTTGCTAATGATGTATTGTTGCATTTGTTGTTTGTTGGCAATATACTGCTTTTGTTTAATGCCAAACTAAAACAATGTAATGACACATTCCATTATAATAGCATATTGGTTGGTGTAATGTAATGTCTTACATTTGACGTTGAATTAAATTTTGCCAAACAGCCTTCAATTCTGGTTTTGGTGCTCGAAGTACAATAACTCTGCCTTTAATTTTGCTGGGCAGCCTAGAGAGAGTACCAGACAAATCAGCAAACAACGGACTACATCCAGTCATTGCTGGGTGGTTATGATGTGGAGATTCAACGGGTACATTGCTATTGATGACCAATCTAAATTCTGCATCTAAAACATAAAAAAAAATGTAACTTTTCAGATTTTATTTTTCTCATTTTTTTGTCATCCAAAATTACCTTTCTTTTTAACAGAAAACTGAGTTTGAGAAATTGATGAAAGAGGTAACGGGTCGTCGGTAACAAAAAGAACACGGTCCCTACTGACTTTTGTGAACATTAATATATCAGAAAATAACAGCGCCCAGTAAGAGCGAACTGAACGTCCTTCGACTCTACTCAGATCACCGGCGAAAATCCATTGACGATCGGGTACGTTCAATATGAAAGGCTGCAATAAAATTTAAATCAGTGTTTAATAGTTTTGTCGATTTCAAGTAATATTATACATTATATCCACAGACCTTGCATCGAGTAAACACTAGTCTAGTCTCTAGATCGTTGAGCGACAATAACGGCTTACCATCCACGTCTGGTTCCATAAGGCCGGATTCGACAGTAATGAATCGATAAGTCGCCTACACAATAAAGTAAGTGATTTTTGTAATTATAATTTTCGTGTTAAATAAAGTTATCATTCAGACAAAGTGATCAATAACAATTGTAAAATTTAACTATTGACATTGTTATATAGTTCAAATTAAAGATGTGTTATTTATTGTGTCGTTTTATATGTTACCTGCATCTCGTGGACAATATGTGATAAAGCTTCAAAATCATCTTGGTTATTTTCCGAGTTGATCTGGATCAGCTGCATGCACTTCAAAATGTTGCGGTAGTGCTACAGTAGAAAAAAATAGGTAAGTAAAAATATAGTTGAAAAGGCTCAAACTTTTAGACATACTTCTAATGGTTTGTGCAGAAATGTGATCAAGTCGGGTCGACGTTCTGGTATAGGCGGATCTTTGATGAGATTCAGAAAATTTGTATTCTGGGACTTTTCTACCAGTAAACTATCCGCTCTGATGATACCCTTGCAATATTTGTAATAAGCCGTATTAATTTGATCGATTTTGTTGACATAAACTTTGCACATGTTTCGTGCAAGCTGTTTCCAGTCGTTATCGATAATACGCTCTAACGTATCTTCGGTGATACGTAATAACTGAAATTGAGTTTTTCGGTTAGGACAGTTAGCCGAGACGATTCATTTTTAATTAGTAATAGAAACTCAGAAACTGAGGAAAAAATATACTAGTAGACGAGGAATCGAACACAGGTCTTTTGCTATACGAACGAAAGCTTTCCCATTAAGCGGTCAGGTAGCTATACTTAATCCTCAACTTCTGAGTTTCTTAATTATCTGATAATTAGGTTTATTTGTTTTTTTATTTTCTTGGTAAATTATATTTTATTAAAAGTGCCACAGCAAACATACTTCTTGTACGTTTTGAAAAAGAATAGTGTGTTCTTTGGGCTTGAGCACGTCTTTTCTTTCAGCCAACGGTAACAAATATCTACCAATACCGAACTGTAAACACAGTACTAGTTGTTGTTCGGCTGTCAGGAGCTGATGAATCCATTTTAGTTGTAAATCAGTGTTTTCCAAAAGATTCTTAAAAGTAAAAATTATTTATCATTAAGTTGGTGCCCTTCCGATTAAATATTAATAAACTTAATTTTTAATGATTAAAAATTATATGTACATACAATACATATAATTCATTCTTTAGATTTAACTTGTTTGAAGGTTGCATTTTTGAAAAATGCTAAATCGTTTTTAGTAATTGTTCATTTAAACCTATTAATGTTCATGTATTGTTTTGAATTAAGACTGTGTAAGTATTATAAATAAATACCAGTTACATCAAGTAAAAAAGTTTATAGTCATAGTCATACTAGTACAAACAAAATTTATTACTTTCAAAATTAAAAATACTTTTTGCATTTTCGAACTTTTTCATTCTTTGTAGGATGTTTTAAAATTTTTTGTCTGAATTATGATTAATATTTTTCCCATATTTTCAAATTTATAGTATTAACATTTTATTTTTCATTTACTTTGTAAGTACTCGTTACTTAATTTTATAGTATTGTATTAAGCGGAAAATATTATAATTTTCGCATATATTCAATATAATTAACAACAAATATAGTTAACAACAAAATCAAATAATTAATTAATTTTTTTTTTGTAATAAAATAAATAAATAACTTGTAAGGAATTATTCTTTTACATAACCAAAGTGTAAATTCTTTCTTAATATTAATTTCAATTTTATGGTGTGTCTTAAGAATATATTGAGTATTTTTAAAGTATATTTTACAATTAAAAAATTCAACATAATTTTATGCATAATTCTAACTGATTTATTAAAAATTAGTTTTTTTCCGACCATATTATGTAAAAATTGTTAGGCTTCATATAAATTTTAATAAATTTGAATCTTTGCTTAATTATATAGGTGAAATAGCTACCCGCTCTACATGATTTATTAATTTAAAAGTTATTATACTTCATCTGAGAACTGTGTTATAATTTTATCTCGATTAAAGTCTAAAGTCATCATTAATTGTTAGCAAAATTGAATAATACACATTACATTAATACCTTCTAAAGGTTATTAGAATTTTTCGTTAATAAAATTAGGTTACTCAGGAAAGGAAGCAAATAGTGTAGGGGATAAATCATAAAATAATTATAATAAAACGAAAACTTTTAAACAAAAAACGAAACGCGTTTATGTACAAAAAATAATAATAAAAAGATACAAAATAATAAATACAAAAAATGTGTTTTGTATTAGTTTTTGTTTCCTAAAAAAAAAAATGCACAAACACAATTATAACAAATGAAAGGAACAAATATAACGACATTTAATAGCCGCATGCAACAATAAAATAAAAATAATAATAATGTAGAATAATACAAACATAAACAAGAACAAACATAAAACAATATTATGGTGTACTAATTTCTACAAAATAAATAAAAATATTGGGATTATAAGTTAGGCAAACTCAAATAAAAAAATTAATTAATATAAGCACACAATTATTCTGGTAATTTGATAAATTTACTATGTTACTTAAATGGGGTTATTTAGTAAAGAATACCTTATTATATTTAAATATCATACTGGCTTTTAAGTTTACTGGCTTCAGTTCCAAAAAATAAAAAAATACTCTGTGTCACAATATTAATTATCATTTTGACACTATACAATAATAAAGGATAAAAAATAATAATAGTAGTAGTAACAAGCGATGAAAAAAAAAAAAAAACAAAAAAATAAATTATAAAATCAAAATTAAATTAAATTTGCTATTTACAAAAACAATCGAGATTAACAATTACACTCAAACGACCACGCCAGAACCTACCTCAGATGTAAATGTCACTTGAGGTATGTGAAACCTTCTCCTCGGTGGCTCTTGTAAGGACATAGTCGTGTCACTTTGCGAAACAGCGGATGCAGCCAAGTTAAGTACACCTGGAGTGGATGTTGATCGGGGAGGAGGTTGATTTTTGCGGTTTGTCGTTGAAGTTTTATTATAAACTTCTAAGAATAGCTGATTACCACAGGATCTATAAAAAAAATGTACTTTGTTAGTGTATTCAATGTACTGGCGTTGTCTTTTATAGTTTTTATCTAATTTTTATCCAGACAAACAAGAAATTTATCTGGATTGCCATCGTAAGACAATGTTATAAATATATTATTTTTAGTTCATTTAATTGACACAAAAGCTCTTAAAATATAATGAAAATAAATAGATTATTTTCATTATTCTTTATTGCTTATCTAAAATAGTTTTTTAAGATAAATAATGATTTCTTCAACACTTGTTGCAAATGGCAGAAATTCAACTCAAAATTATAGTAAATCTTTTGAGTAAAATAAAATGATTAGGTTATTTTACCATAGAATCACATATCTCTGAAACGATATGTCACATGTATATTGAAATTTTTAATTGCTGTAATGGACATTAAATATTATTTAAACCATTCACTGAAGTGATTTATTAATTATTTTTGTTATCATCTGGTTTACTACTTAATCGACGCAGTAACAATTTTCACTATAATTCAAACTTTTAGTATTACTCAAAGATATTTTAATGAAGTCTACTTCGACATTTGACAATAATGGCATTCAAGACTATATCGCTTCAAATTTAAAACTGTTTCTTTACGTTTGTTGTACTTAACTATTCTAGTATACTACGTGACTATAAACACCTATGATTATATCTAACCCCTTATCAAAGTGTATAGGTGCGTAAAACTTACTTTATCAAATCCATAATATCATCTTCAGACATCATGACTACATTGGTTTTATTGATGAACACCACATAGTCGCCTGGTTTCAAATCGGCTTGATCAGCAGGTAATCCACACTCCACTCGCTCCACTCTATAAAACAAACACATCAATTTTAATAATTGAAAATAAAACACTTATTAAATGAAATGATAAATAAAAGTACAATAGGTTAGTTTATATTAATGAAACTAAGTGGTTATTGTATAGGAGAATCAAAATAGGTAACCAAAACTACTTAATTTATTTGTGTCTAGAGTTGTATGTTTTCAAACCTTTGTGATTTAAAACGATACACTTATAGAACAAATGACACAGCTATATTTGGTTTTTTTTTTTAATTTATAATACATTCAATAGTTTCTTTGGATATTTAAATGTAAAAATATGATACATTATAATATAATATTATACAATTGTTACCTTGGCGGGTGCGTCCACGCTATGGAAAATCCAAAACTTGAACCTGGTGATTTCGTTAATCGTTTGGTTACAGTGAATGGTGTTCGCCCACATCGACCATCTCTAGACGTCAAAGGAGGGTCCAATTCTAAGTATTGTAAAAACTTATTTTCTTCATTACCTAACGATAAAAGAAACACAATTAATTTTTTACTATCTCAATTGTTCAGAGAATACTATGACTTATTTACTTAGAGTTTTTTTTAATTTGCATTATTATTCTATAGATACTTAAAATTTTATGCATAACGTCCTTTCTGGTTTTGTTTTCAAGACAGTTCATTTTTGTTTCATTTATTGTAACGGTCGAAGTTCAAAAAAACAATTGTTTACATTATAGTATTAAAATATTATGCAACAAAACAGAAAAAGTACACCTTCTCAAACAGAGGGTGAGAAGTCGTTATAGGGTAAGAAACGAAATCGCTGCACATTATCCGAAAAGTGTGTAAAACCTCGTGCTCGATTTGTATAAAACGAATTTTAGTGTACTATGATAAAAAATTTTACTGGAAGATTGCGTGCAAGGAAATTTAACCATGTTATTTTGATGGCTGTTATAGAGATGTATTTCGTGCAAAAAAAAAAAAACTCACAGCTTTCATATAAGCTTTCAATATAAACCAATTTATAGACTCGTAAACTTACTAGTTTTAGAAATAGGCGTTTCTTTCTTTGATACTTTTTGATTGCTTTTGCTTTTTATTGACACTGATGTAAAAAATAAAATAAATATATTAAACACCACACGAATAATTTACTTTATGGCCTTAAATGTAATTATATGACGCTTACCTGAGTTATAATTACTAGGTGTTGGATCATCATCGATCATGATGTCTTCCTCGTCTTCAGAGCACTGCACAGCTCTTATAACTGTTAAATCTTGTGGTCGTTGAGCTGGCGTAGAGTGTGGAGGCATTCGTCCTGGACTCTGAGGGACCAATTTAAACGTGCCGTTTACTTCCTGCAAAACAATTAACGTTTAAAATTAATCGTGACATTAATAAGCCCAAATCCTTGAAACAAGACTACACAAATAGGTCAAATGTTTTTGCATTTTTCCCGCAATGTATTATAATTTAAGTGTTGCGGTCAAGGGAAGGGAAACATTTCAATGGTCTCTTGACGATTGAAAGGTTTCAATGAATGTTGCAACCTCCATCCATGATATCTATTGTAATTTTTATCATTCAAAATACATTATTCGACAAATAGGTAATTATAAGAGTAATAAATATAACTTATAATAATTACAGTTAGCTTATAAAAACTAAACGGTAAACGCCAGAAACACTTACCTTTTTCATTATGTTTTTCACTGCAAACGACATGTAGCCCAGGAATTCGCTTCTCCTAAATCACAATATTCAAACCAATTAAAAAAACTATAATTTCATATTTAAAAATATTAATATTAAATATGAATTTTTTACACAAGTTAAAAGGACAAGTTATTTATACAAAATAAATAAAAAGTGAAATAAAATTTAAAAATTACAGTAAACAAACGACAAGCCGCCGTCGAAAGAAGCGATGTACTACTGTTTGTGCTTGTGCGTGCTGAACGTTGATACCGGAGCTGTGTGGGATCGATCGGTTGCAACCCCCACACTTGCTCTCTTCTGACCGTCTTCTTACCCTTAGTCAGCATCCCGAAAATACCCTTTACACTACCACTGCCACACTATAAACGACCAGAAACGATGGCGTGCGGAGTACCCCGTAAAATGCAAATCGCAACGATCGACAGAAAACCCGGTTCAGGGATACACTGAGTATTTATGCCCATAATAAAACAGTTTATCGGCACTTCAACTTAACAGCCATTTATTTTTGTTGGAGAGGTGAATAAAAATTTAAGTGTTGCTCGAAAAAACAGCACATTTTGGATTCAGTGACGTCATAAGTGTCATGACCACGTATCAATTTTATTGTTGGTGTATGATCAGTTTGAGTTTTTTGTTTTTTTAAATTTAGATAACATAAGTAATTTTTTTTTTTTTGGAAATCTTGTATCTGAATGAAAAATGTTTCAATCTATTATCATATAGACCGTCAGATGAGCGGTTAATAACGATTAGGGTTAGAGCAAAAAACTATAATGCGTATGATGGTATAACGTTGGGATCTTTTCGACGAATTTCTTTGTGCGTTTGAGTGGAACCGTGTGATCAGCAATGGTGTGAAACGAATGCAATAGGGTAAAAATCGATTGAAGATGATATTCCAACGATAAGAATTAGTCGATGTCGGGGTGCCGTCGATCATTGCTAGATTTGTGAGAACACCACTATATCGTTATTTCATGGTATTATAGACAGATTAGAGGTATCTTTTCTCTTCGATTAGAATACTAGTGCAATCCTAAAAAGGATTCCCCCTGAATGCTCTACATTTAAGTATATGGAAATCCGCTGGTTTGGTGGCGGTTGGGACAAGGTGCTATTAAATTTCTTTTGTATTGTATTATTGATCCTGACGGTTATGGGATCAGATCGGGATGTATTTATTTTCAATAGCGATACACTACTCTTAAAAATTAATTAAGAAGCTTTTGAATACGTTTAATATATAAATACTATAACTGTCAAATTTTAATTAAACTAAATTAATATTCTTGAAAATTACCTTTTTGTTAAGTTTCGATGCCACGCCGATATTAGTATTCTTTTATCAGTGTCTTCTTCGGAGAGTGGTACGGAAAACGACTCGTCAAATCTAGGATTAGACGAATAATGTCGAACTCGAGTTCTATGACAAGTTCCTTTGCCGGGTACAAGATAAACCTAAAAAAATAAAAATATAATATTTAAAAAAATTGTGTCAAGTGTTTACTTAAACTTTTCCTTTATTTACTTTAATATATGTATTGGGAGGTTCCCCGTCAGAGCAAACTAAATTCCTGCCTCGCTTTACTATAAATTTAAACAATAACAATTTAGTAAAATAGAAACTTATATGTGACGAGTTTCACTATTCATAGTGGAAAAGGTTACTTACATTGTACGTTTAAGTGAGTAGAGTCTTTTAAGCTAATAGAAACTTCAAGACCGGAAGCTGAAATTTAAATGTTGAATGTTATTCATTTATATAATGTTAAATTAATTAAATTCGACAGTGTATGTTATATTGTAAAGGTTCTAGCAGTAGTTTATTTATATGCATGTTAATATGATATTTATGCAAATATGTTTTGTTAATAAATTAAACTAATGTACTATGTTACACGCGATTTTCGTTAACATAAAATACAAGTTGGGGATTTGTTTTATTTGTGGTTGTTTTATTATGTAATAAATTTTATCAAGTTAACGCAAACGTAATATTCATTTACTGGTAATTATAAATAAACTAGGGAAATTTTTGAGGGAAATAGCTTTATTGCAACATAATAAACTACTCACCTTTATCAGAGTTCTTTTTAATTGATCTTCTGTTTTTTCTTTTAGCTGGCGAATCTGACACAGGAGACACAAATGACAGACATCTCCTAGACTTCAGGGTAAAAGTTTCATCTAACATTGTTGGGCTTTTAGGGTCACAGCAAATGATGTCATCTTCAACGGTTTTTGATGACGTCGTGGACAAACTATCCCCGGCAATGATTACAGGTCCTACAGGAGTTTTCCAGTAATCGTCGGACTCGTCTGGATCTCTTCTACAAGGCGTAATAGGGCTAGGTGGTACAACGGAGTGTGGGGTAAATGGGCTGGGCAAACTGTCAGGTAGTGTTAAAGCACCCAAATTTGGTCGCTTGCATGGTGGTACGTGACTGTCAGACCACTTTCGTTTCAACGGTGACGACTTACGCAGCCGAATTTCCGCTAATCTTTTAGCCAAAGGTGATACAATACTTAATCTATCTCGTGCAGCATCATCAATAAACGTACAGTCTTCCATACGAATTTGATCAACAAACTGATCGATGAGCCTAGACGCACAAAGGTCGTCAGCGGGTCGTTGCGGCAATCGCGGTAAGTCTTTATGCAACAATTGTACAGGTTCTTCAGTCGGAGACATAGACACACATAAGTGTCCGTCTGCTGACGCTGGTGTACTGCCAAGGTTGATCACATGGTCCGTTGTGCATGGTTTCTTGCGCTTCACATTGTCCGCCCATATGTCATCACCGGATCGCCTAATGGAAGAGGAAATTAAGTAATTCAATTTGATTATAAGAATATCTATTAAGTCTAATAGCTTAACGATTATAATTAAACTTTTAAGTTAATATCAGTTTAACATCATGGGTGTTAAAAAAACCATACAAAGAACGAACAACTCTCAACCATATGGGTAGCGATCGTCCGTCATCATGTATGTAGGAAAAAATATTCCAATAGATACGTAAAATAACTTAGGTAATCATATATAAAAGACGTTTTAATAGTTAAGAATAAAAAAAAAAACCTTATAAACGGTGCGTTAGTCTGCTGTTATGAACAACTATTTAAATTAACGGTTAAAATTATGTCCGTTTAGTCGAGGAAATAGAGATTAATTACTGTTTTAACGGATCAATTAGACTTATTAAAAATTTAATCGATTTAAAGAAGTACTAAGAAATGATCGCAATATTTCATGTTTAAATATAGTTGGTCTATTAAGTATGTTGTCTTCACTAAAAGTGCACTGTCTTGATGTAATGGCTTTAACGTTTAAAAAAAGACGTTAAGTTTATATTCACCTTTTTTGTACGGTAGGCATCCAGTGGGTTTCGACGCAAGGGCTCTTAGTCCTCTTGGAAGGCGACGCTACCACCGGACTATTGTGATTGCTTAAGTCTCTTAGACTTTCTCGACGTCGGCGGCGACATGTCTTGACGGGTGTTACATCCTTATAATAAAAACAAAATACATTAAGAAAATAATACAAATGGTTACAAATATTAGTTGATACTTACCACACATCCCGAGTTTTCCTTGTCTTGCTTGTCTGATACTCTGGACGGCCTTCTTCGTTTAGGTTTATCAGAGCAGCACGCTGATTCATCAGTCGTTTGTCTCCAACCACCTCCAACTCCCCGTTGACCGATAACTGTCCACTTTAACATTACCGTTGATTACCTAAACCAAGTAGGTCGTTAATAAATTTTGACATGATAAAGACGGAATTTAATTAGTAGTGTTTTTTTTTTACTAATGACGTCAAACAATAATCGTGGTAAATGACTTAACGAAAATTTAATCATATTAACCCCACAAAATAAAATTAAAAAAATAACCCACGTTCATGAGATAAACGTTAATGCAGAACTGTGGATTTCCGGTGCATTAGTCGACTACGGCGGTTCCGGAGGTTTAATTTCATTGTTTATCGCCTATTAGCATATTTTTCTTACACTACCGGCCGGTATGTGTCCACATAACCGATTTAGTCGTTTGGAAACGTACGGAGGAATGATCTACAGTTTGTTGCCGTGACAACCCTGTGGTATACACGAATGACTTATTAGCATATTATAAATTCTGCCAGCAAACAGGACAACAGCAGGGATATAAAGACCCCCGCTCGATTTCAGAAGTAAAAAATTCTCTGCCCCACAATAGTGTTTTTGTTTTGTTTTTTATTTTATTTTTTTTACCTTATATAACAATGCACGTGGTATTGTGTTTCATTGTCGCTATTTTTCGCGCCGGATAGCGGATAACAAGTCTGTGTTTTCTTTTTTGTTTTTTTTTTAATCCTCATCATTCCTGTTCCGTTTCCTTACCCAACACCCATTCCTCGCAACCCTTTTGCCGAGCTCATAAATTTTCAGGCGCCATCCGCGCGACGGCCACGTAAAAAACCGACCGTATGTACTTCCCATGGATTCCTAACCGGGCCACTTAGACATTCTATTGTCAACGATGATCTCTTTAGTTACCTTTTGTGTCTACCACGACGATCAACCGTCGTAAATCAGCAATCAGTTCATGTGGAAACGAATGAGATAAAAACGGATCTCAAATAATAAATAAAAAAAAAGAGTCCTTTGAATTTTTCATGACCTTATTGAACTTCTTCTAATTAATATGCACGAGCGGTAGTTGATGCGGCTGATCATTTAATGCGACTCTTATACATAACATAGTTAGATAATGAAATCTAGGTCGGAATTTTATCAACATGGCAATACGTCCAAGATCAATCATCGTCGCTCAACGGCTGAAATAACATTATAATATCAGCTACTCGATCCCTTGATATTTTTCGACCGCACTATTGTTACAAATAGAGCGATTGTTTTATTCAAAATAGATAATCCCGGGGTTTAAAAGACGTTATAAAATTTTCATATTATTTTGCACAATAGAATATTCTACCTACTTCTTTTAAAATTTGAATATGAATCAAAATCAATCTGTATTCTAGACGTCAATTAATGACGTTGCCATTCTTTCTTTAAATAAGTTTTTTGTTACAGTTATAATATTGATAACTGATTTATATGCAATAACATTCTCGTTATGGGATAATGCTTATGCTTAGAATTTATCTCAAGGAAATCATACAACTTAAACTAGTAAAAGGGTTATTTTTTTCTTTAATAAGGTTTTTATATTAGAGTAATAATATTATGAACACTTTTTGAATATCCTACGGCGTGAACATAACTTGACATTAACATATAATTATTTTAAAAAGGTACAGTGAAAGAATAGAAAATTACTACATTTGACACTCGACTGAGTTTTTAGAAAACATTTTTTTCTTCCAGGTAACTTTTTAATCATAAGTTCAACATTAATGTAAACACATTGATCGATAAACACATCATTAAAACGACATCAGCCTCGTTTCTATTGAATCGCTACTTTATAGTCTTGTTCCCAAGCACCAAACAGACTTATTGTATTTCACACAGTCACAGTTTATTGCGTACCGTATAATAAGGGGCTTTTGATTTTTTACTTTACGATCAATAGCATAACTACATACCGAACCGTCAAAAGGCAATTAAAATAACTATAATAGTGACAATAACTATATTGCTACGTTTCGTAATTTTGTGTGAAATTCATTCGTAGCTAAATAATAAGGGAGTTGCCGGGGGGGACCTTTTATTCGCACGCACCTTTAGTTTCGGTACGCGCCGAGTTTATGATATTATTTTTGATTCGCAAAAGGACCGCGTAAATAATACGTTCAATAATCGAACGTCTTATACGTTGACCAACCGTCATTGCTGTCGACAGCCTTCTGATATTGTATTTTGTTCCATTCAAGACTGCTAAACGGAAATGGTTCATGTTTGGTGTTAATACATTTTTATAGCTTTACGGCGTAAAAAAATACTACGCCGACAATAGGTCTGGAAATCATCGTGTTAAATTGAGTTTCGGACATCCGAAACAGGTGTGTACACCCGCGAGTTACTTTCTACATGTTTGGACCGAGCGCAGGTGGTATACGAGCAATTTTCATTCTACTTCACCTCCTCCTGTCGTTCCATAATGAAATTTGAATGCATCGCCGGAAATTCGTCGTTCACATTACCGACCATTATGCCCTTTTAAAGTTCATACGGCGCAGACAAACTGAAATGTTTATTGCAATAGCTGGAATGATCGTGTTTATTTTTTTCGTATTTAACCGTTTCAATCCTTTTACGAGGTAAAAATCCTCCCTCGAGCGCATAAATATGAAATAATATATTGGCCACGCTGATATCTGTGAAACGCGCGTTAAGTTCAATTACAATATCGAACAACGTCATTGATGTAGGTATACTTTTAAATGTGTAGGTATATTACGATGGGGTGGAAACGGAACGAATCTATTGCGGATTTATGCGGAAAAACTGCTTGTCATCTGGTGAGGTGCGGGCTCTGTGTATAAATCTACGAGCACAATAATAACACGAAACGAGTGTATGACCCCCACACAGCCGGTAAAGATGACGACGATGATGTTCGCGAGTGTGTTTTTGCGGATTTATCGGCGGGAGGTCGACCATGTGATTGATGATCGAGGCTTAAAAAGGGTTAATAACAAGCGGGTCGAGTGTAACCGGGCACAGTTTTCGGGTTTCCTGTAATTTTACGGGCATTCATGACGAAAACCTCGTGAGAGAAAATTCAATTATTTTAACGGTGGTATTAAAAGTTTTTTGTCCTAAGGGATATTCAATGATGTTATCTGAGAGAGTAGATTTCTACGCGTCCGGTCATCGCATCGTCAGTCTTGGAAGACTTGTCACAGCGGGACAGACGTAGGAAAAAGGGATGTCGGTATCGTTGACATGAATTCATTTTTACCGTGCAACAAATTATAGTCATTATAAAAAATACTAACGACCATTTTCGTGTGAAAAAGACACATTTTCTAAAAGATACGTTACGAAGAAACTTTTATTGTTTTCCACGAGTTATTAAAGCGGCATATAATTTTTAAACATAAAAAAGACATTGACTGACATTTCTTAGTGTTACCGCGTTAATTTATTACTATTAGCATTTCATATACTTATAATATTGACTACACATCGTGTAATAAATTGCTTGAAATGATCGTTAGTTCTTTCGGAAATAAACGAATATGCGCATGTAAACAAACTATGGGGGACCCGCATTTTTACTACAATTTTTATGGTAAACCAATAATAAGGTATTATTGCTTACAGACCGATGAATAGGACAGATATCGCGAAATGACGTATTCAGTTTTCGGTTGGACGTTTAGAAATTCAACGATAACTATTACGTGCAATTTTACCCGCCAAACTACATGTTTAATTATAGTTAATGACGATTGACAATGTATAATTAGGCTTTGTGTTGAATTTTTAGAGCTACAAAACTCATAAATTAATACATAATTGACCTCTTGAAAATGTTTCAGCTGCACTTGGTGTTTTTGAACCAAATTCGTATATTAGATCATAAAATCGCCGGTTATTGCTCTAAGCATCGAGTCTTCTATCCACTCTAAAATTACAGTCTTTGTGAAATCGTAAAATATAATATGTTGTTTACACACGGTCATTTACGATGTCCGGTCCGACACCTGGAACTAGGGAAGTGATCGAAGGATCGTCAAGACATGCCCCGTCGTTCAATTTATTCTTAAACGGTCGCACTGCAATAAAACTCGTTTAATTCGTATTGGTCTTTTATTAGATGATAATAATATCAAGAGCAAATTGTGTACGTTTCTGTGTTTGTTACAATAAACAATTTTCATTCATGACCGAGCCTACGACAATACGCGACCGGATCAAAACATTCGTACGAGGGTTCTGCACTGGTCAAAATTCACTATTATACTGTCTGTTTCTATATGTGTTTCCTTATATGCTGTACCGTGTTACCGTTCGCAACGAGCAATGCATTGCAGTGTAGGAAATGGATTTGTCGTTTGTACAACAATGGTCAACATGTCAATGTCACTGGTATCACAATGGAAGCGCACGATATTCTCAATCTGTTCGAGAGTAGTCTTCATTTCACGTGTACGCGTATATGATATAAAGGAACCGAATTATTACATAAATGATTTTTGCGCATTTCGGCTTTGCGTTTGACGACACAGGGGAGAGAGAAATAGGACATTGACAAGACTGAAAATGTCAACGTCAGACCGTTAAATTTTTTAAAATATATCCCATTTGGATACGATACGCCAAATTATAGGATTTCCGACGATTTGTGTTTGTATTTTATTATTTGTACATTTTTTTTTTTTGTGTATCAACTACCTGGATCATTATCGCAATACCGTCCGTTTTATGTGCGAGGCGATTTCAATGAAATAGTATTGTAATATGTAGTTTTCTATGCGTTCCTGCGAGACGTCTCCTGTGTGTTCACGCCCTTTGGTTTCGGTTACGATGCAATTGATATGCTAGCCCAATATTATGTGCGTCTTAAAGGCATAAAGGTCAATCCGGATCTATGGCCGTGGTTTCACCCGGGCTTAATAACAACATTTATTCGTTATGCCGACGTAGAGGGGGGTGCGTGAAACACGGAGTGCACCTCCTTCCCCTTTTCAACCAGCTACCCCTATTCGGACGTGTCTAAATTAGCCTATACAAATGTCAATAACCGTTTTTGAGAGAAATCGAAATGCCTACAATTATACGTTTATTTCCGGTCCACGTGCCCAAATCTCGGTGAAGTATAATATATTTGTGCGTTTCCGTTTGGGATCACATTACACGTATTAATATAACTGTGCAGTTATGTATACGTTTGTTAACAATCTTATATCAACGGACGGCCGTCGACACCGCGAGGAACGGGGTTAAAGGACAAATCACGGGGATAGCGAAACACACCTGGTTAGGTATCCACGACGAAATAGGCCATCTGCTCGAGGTAACAATATGCACCTTTAAGACGAAGAATAAGACGAAGAAGCGTGCCAGGGGCGTTGCGTAAGTGATCTTTGGTAAAACCTATTGCACGAATTTTTAAGGTGAAAAAAAATGTACAAAGGCAGCTGAAAATTCTATTGAAGAGTAACCGATTTTCTGCGACACTGGAATTCGTAAAATGTCATTTTTTCATTATTATCCAGTGATAATAGATAATTTATTTACTGTCTTCTGATCATGTGCTTCTTTCTTTCTCGGAAGAATTTTTAGTAATTAAATTCTTATTGTATGGTGTAAAATAACTACTGTGTTATGGTATAATTTTAGCATTGATTGAGCCATTACATCGTTTTTACGAATCCAATAAAAATCTGACCGTGAGCATTTATCGTTAGAAAAAACCGATACCGTTTATTATCAAACATGCAATAACTCGCAACGCGATATTTGAATAAAATGTCTATAACTTATGCATACATAAACGCAGTTAGGCTACAAAATCACACCGTAGAAAATTGTCGGATCTCGATCGGGTGCGGTTTTAGTAATAACAATAAAATTTATTATCGTTGCAAACGAAACTGAACTCTGGGTATAATGTCGGTGGTTAGTTTTTTATTGTAATGCAGAGCAGTCATACACAGCAGCACTAGTCAATTTGGATTCGCTTGTAATGTCTTGTGAGAAAAGAATAACACAACTTGGGAGGGCGAAGTATACGTATACAATAATCGTACTAATTTGCCGCACACAACAACCCTTTACGCATTATTATGTAAAAACGAATGTGGAATACATAATTTTCTACCGGGCGTGCACAGTAGACCAATTCCCAAAGGGTGTTTGCCCCGAAGACGGCGACAACCAATTCCATCCGACCCCCGGTAAGTGTTTTAATCCGCAATAACTGTCTGGTTTTACGACTGCGACATTGGCGCAATCACCCCGTAACGCGTCACCTGACTCGTTGGACTTGGAAATTTACTGCGCGGTCATCTATAGTTCTTATAATAAATAGTTTCAGCAATTCTATAGAAAGGACATAAATTTCGATTGGTTTAGAGAGTTTCGTAGGGATTGAGTGCGATGGGAAAATTTTCGGAAATCTCGGACAAAAGGGACAGAAAAACCAGACGTCTGATCTTTTGTGGATTGCCCCTCCGTCTGGACGAAAGGCGCTTCACTTGACCTTTTTTTCGCCCCGTTTCCCCGACTAACGTTTGGGGGGCCGCATCCTTGTGACACTATAGCGGTGGCAGCAGGTTAACATTATTATACAGCGGAGACTTGCACGGAGGGTCGACCGTCGAAAAGACAAAAAACGGCGTGTTTAATGCGCAATCGTGATAGGGTGCCCCGGGGGGAAAGATCCAGTTTTCGCTACACCGTTGTTGTTTGGCCCCGATTGGCCCGGGGATTTTCTTATTCCCATAAAACGTTATTTATAACGTTTATAAATTGTAACGGACCGGTTCTCCTAGTCTCTATCTCTTTTTAGTCTTTTTTTTTTTGTCGTCTGGTGTCTTCGAGTTTTGATACCCTCAAGAGCTTAGTACGAGACTATGATCAGATATAAATGAACACTATTTATTTTTACGCTTTAACAATTGGATCGTGGGTCAGCCGCGGTAAAAATGTCTCTATCGTTTGACGAAATCTCAATGTAATCCGGCTTATCTGTTTCGACAGTAAATTAGAAAGCCATCCGCGGAACGACTGCAATGGCCAGTTGGAATATAGTGTTAAAAAATAAGAGTAACTCAATAATACATGGAAATATGCACCGCCTCCTATGCGATGAAATTGGTCATTTAAAAAAGCAATTAAGCTAAACCATGAACCGTATTGAGTTTAAGTCACTTAGTTTATCGTAATGTAGTTGAATGCGTTCTTAATAGTTTTGGTTACTCTTCAGTGAGTGAAATTACTGCTGTTAATATATTAATAGTCATCGAGACGACGCTTTGACGTGATCATTATTCAAGGAGAAGTTATTGTTTGTGTTCACGAAATAGTGTCATGTTACGCTCTGCCAGTTTTAAAAGTAAGTCATACTAGTCAAAAGCTATATCCGGTAAAATCACGGTAGGACACGGTGCGGGTTGCTTGGGATTATCGTTATTATGTGTTGTCATAGGCCGATCACAATCAAAACAAGTTTGTACTATTTATTTGGCTTCGTCCATTACGTAAAATATTTGCATTCAAGTCAAGCAAGGGTTGCGCGATGTAGGTTTTTAGATTTTTCTTTTGCCCTTCGAATTTTTCGAACCGATTCCCTTGACCGGCGAAGACAGTGCGCCGACAAAGTGCAAACCGGTTTCCCTCGGCAGGGCACACGCATCATATCTTTTTCTATCCATTACGATAACAATGCTCATATTGTTACCTTGCACAAACTTGAATACCGTACTGGTAGTGTCGCCTGCACACAACACCACCGGTCATGCTAACCAAATTTCTCATAGGCATCCGTGTGCATAATGATAATAGTCCACGGAATGTCCAGCTGCGATATATTGTAGTCGGCCGATTGTCGCGAATCTTCCTTGCGCAAACACACCAACCCGACTCCAAGTAGTCTGCACGACGACCCCGAAGAAAACATAAAAAGACCCATGCACGTGCGTGGCCCCTTTCGTCGCGCTCCGAAGATATTATGAAACACCGTGGATCGTTATTGTACGGTATTATATCATCGCTGTTCAAACAGCGGACCGGCGAGAAAACTGTTAAAAAACACCCATATCTCAAATGAAATATTTTGGTTTATTTTCTTTCGGCAAATGTTTTTCTGGACGTCAGTTAATGTTTTGCATGTTACGACTATTTAATGAGTGCATTGTACGAGGTGTGTGCAAATTGGTACGCGACACGATTACTTGTTAATGGGGGAGAGGAATGAAAAACGGCGAGGTACCTAGGCCGGATATTATTAAATGTGTTTGTGCTGTAACGGCGACTGCATTGTGCGACGGGAGACGTGATTGACAAGTACATTTGCATTATATCAACGTGCAGTCAGATACGAGACGCCGAGTCTAGACGTGACGTGGTAAGGATAAAGGAGCGAGGCGGAGAAAACCAGTCCGGTGGTATTGTTTGGTCTGGAGTTCAGACGACGGGGGACAGCGCGGTCCAGCTTTTGGCGACAAAGGTGCCGTCAGACAAAAGAACCACGGCACTGTGTGTAATTACCATTGCCAAAATCAGCGGTTGACCGGGTAGTTAAAAAGAAACCAAAAGAGCTGCCGCTGCCTAACCTATTATATTAATAATCGATTGATCCGAAAAATATGTATAAATGCTTTTCAATTTGCGGTTTACCCCTAACGCGGTCGTCTTATTAACCCACGCGAAAATCTCAACCAAAAAATTCAGAGATAACGCTTGTTGCCAACGAGATTTGTCAACATTCAATTGTCATTACTAATCGACCGGAATAATATGAATTGACAGAACAGGTTTCGTCCGAGTATTGGTACATAACTAGTATTTGATCGAACGTGAAATATCGTCAATTATTGTTTAGAAATATTAAAATATATAATAAATGCCAATGTCTATAGTATTTTTTTTGCTAAACGTATTCAGACATTGAAAAAAATATTCTGAGGTTATTTTTTCATTTAATTTTCGTTGCTCAACTGGAGTTTAACCGATTAGTAATCTCCTAAATAACACTGATATTTAATCCACCTCATCTAGAAATATAAGATCTTTGTAGTAGCGCGTGGCTACTGTCTTTTTACATTCTTAATACATTCCGCCCATCGATGTTCCGAGACAAAACAAACAACCACATGTACGACAATGGCCCCAACATACCGAGCGCCGTTATCTGCGGGTTGTATCTCGAATTGGGTTTTTTACTTTGAACACGCGCCAAGAAACTGTTTTATTCACATTAATATGCATACTACTACAGTCACTATATTACTATGTATTTATTCCATAATATTTTATATCACTAGCTCAGTAAAGGTACACTCGCCCACGACCATATGGCAAAATGTCATTTAACATACTCAAGTAGCCTAACCAAAATATTCACAAGTTTTTTCAATTTGTTTACATACACATGTTAAATAGTACTTTACCCAAGCCGTTATGCGCAACGACAAAATGTTTAACAAATTTTTTGAATTTAAATTCATTATGCATGTATTGATAGAAATGTTTTCGCAGTTAGCTCAAAATCAAAAATAAAATTTCTTTACTGAAGATTATTTAATTCCTGTGTTATTAGACATAAAATCTTCCGAAATACGGCTAATAACTTTTCGAAAACCAATTTGTAACTTTTATCTAATTACATCCATTTTACTAAAATCAAGTACACCGCTACCGGAAATCTTACCGATTGATAAGAATTTATATAGATTTTTTTCTTGATAGGTTTAGTCGACTATTATCTATTAGTCTGAAAACAATTCAAGTCTCATTTCGTAGAAAAAATTTAACGGTTCCAAATCTCATTTGCGAATAAGATTTAAAAGAAGTTTTGGCGGCAATTCCTAATCTACTATTTAAACTTACTTCTTATTATCCGCAAGCACATTTGTTGAAATCCAAAAACGATTTTTTCGTATCCAAAAGATTGTCGCATCACATCAAAACGAAAATACGCACAAATATTGTAAAACTTCAAGAGATGAAAATCAATTTGATTTAAATGAGAAAACACGAAGGACTCGTCGTAACGCGTAATGCGATTATTATTAATTGAGTGTCCTCGGCGGCAACGAGACATGTGCGCGAGGGCTGGTCGAGCAGCGCCAAGAGTCAAACGAGAACTGAGTGGTGCCGAAGTGCTAGTCTAGCGACTGGTTCCTACGGACGCACGCACTACGCCCATATGTGTTTTCTATTACCATTTTGGCGATTTACAGCTGCTTGCTTGGCCCCATTTTACACACGTTATAGTGGCGCGCCACCTTTTGTAAATTTCTTTTTTTTTTTTTTTTACGTGTAGTATTGTAATACCTGTGCCTTTTAGATGGTGTTACCTGCGTAAGGAACCCCGCTTGGCATTTTTATTATTTTTCTATGGGCAACGTTCTTCCATCGTCTCCTCTCGTCCTCCTGTAACGATTCCTCAGTACATCTATATGGTTACACACTTCTTTAATTAACATTCTGATTTAATTCGGCAATTTTTTTTCTCCGTATAAACAATGAGACAATTGTAATTCAGAATATTTAAAACGGACACTCTTGAAAATCAAACAATAATGAACAAAAGGTGTGTGCAACAAAACAATGGAGGAAATTAAGGGATGCGTGACGACAACTGAAGAAGTGGTAACTTTCACACAAAACTGTCTCCGATCAGGTCTCGGATGAGTAATGGCTATGGAAAAAATAAAACATTCCGCCAAGAGTTTGTTGTTTTTCATGCCTATTCATAATGCTCTACGTTTTTTAGTCTTTGAACTGGATATTATATAGGTCACTACAATTGTTTATTTCTTAAGAGATTAAGTTTCAACATAAGCTAATTCAAACGTATAGATAAAATATTTGAAATTTAAATGAGAAAAATGCCTAAATGACTTTTAAAAACATAAATCAATTTTTTTATTTTGTACTAGAACAATTCATTAGTATTGTAGTTATTAATATTATTGTGTTTTCGCTCATTTTTTTCCAAATGTTTTGATTTATTTAAATATATTTATATGGGCAGAAATGACGCAGCATTTTTGAGAGGATTAGTATTTTTCATAAAAATATAGTGCGGAGGACATCACCATGTGTTTATTCTATGCTAGTTTTATATGATTAATAAAATATTATACTAAATTACAACTTTAGCTTTGTCAATAGTGCTTATAGTACTGTTATGTGATTTTATTGTTTATATATATATTTAAAATTATAGTAGAATGACGTATTCAATAACAATGAGGTTGATTTTAAATTATAGAACTTTTTTTTTTTATCAATATTGAAAATATAAAAAAAATGACCAGACATCACAAAAATTTAGAACTGAATTAATGATTAAAAATAATGAGGTTTAATAGTAAGTTATTGCACATTTAAAAATAGTATAAATCAAAATTATACAACTACATATTAAAATCAGAAAACAAGTTATAATTGTTTGCAAGTAATAATAACTAGTATGCATTAAACACCAATAAGGCTCTTGAAATACGAGTCATAAATTGTGTTCATTGATATATGTAATAATATTTAGTAAAAAACATAACATTCGTATATTTTTGTCTGATTACACTACATTAAAAAAATACATTTTTAACTAGAAACAATTATTTATTTACAATAATTTCAGAAAATAATTTTTATTTTAACATTTTTGAAAACTAATCTGAAATTTTTTTCAAATAATTAAATAAGCGTAATTTATAGATTACACAAAATTTAAGTAAGCTCAAAACAAATTGAGAGGCTTTACTCTTCTTTTAGTTCCTCTCTTCATCTCTGCTAGTGTTTAAGTTTAATGCTAATTATAAAAATAATATTATTTTCATATATTCAAGACATGTTATTAAACTATAATGGTGTTAAATTAATCAAAATTTTTTTAACCGGTTAAGTTGAATAGATACATAATTACATGAAGATTTATTTATCACGAATCACAAAATTATTTGTTAAGTAAAAATAATATTGAAAACTTTTTATTTATTTATTTTTTAATTTCATGTTTTTTTACAATTAATTTATCATGGAGAATTTTTTATATTTTTTATATGTTCATATCTTATACCTTAAAGGGCGTCAACTTTATTTTTTAAAATGGGCAACATAATTAATTGATTAGCTTATTTAATAGATAATGATCTAATTAAGAACATGATTGATCGATAACAAATTTTGAACCTACATTTCATTATATGATATTTTATAATTTAAACAAATAAGATGATAGTAATTTTTTATAGAACAATGATTAATTTACTTTGTTCTATAATTTTTATATGCGTTATATTTAATATGAATATCGATCAGTTAGGTTGATTAGTATTCATCAATAATGCAAGTTAAAAAAACATACTAAAATTATTAGCTTGAATTTTGCTGTCAGCATATGTTTCGTATGGTCGGTTGCTGATATAACATTAAACTGCATAATTAATTATTTTTGGAGATAGAGTTATAATTAAATGGCGGTCGAATTTCAGAATCATAAGTCATCCGGTGGTCTATCATGCGGAAAGTACAAAAATAAAACAAATAAAACCCTAATTTGTGCAGGAACCATAAGTATATTGATCACTTCATGATCACTGACCCGTTAACTCTCAATACTAGTATATATTATAATTAGTATGGGATACTAATACCGCACTATGTCGTAAAATAATTATTGGTTTTGTGTTTAAATAATAATATTGACTTTGCAATTCATAAATTACCTATATTACAGTGTACACATCATGCAGTGGGTGTTTTTCTATTTAAAGGTACTAATTAATATACAACATTTTAAACGATTGACTTCCAATAGCTAATTTACGTTATAAGACAAATAACTGACAAAAGTCATGGTTTTCTATAATTTAAATAGATCGATTACATAGGCATTAATCTATTGAATATTATAAGTAACATATTGCACGTGTCATCTAACAATAGTAATATCAACGATAGAATTAAAACGTGAGTCGCGTTAAGTCGATTTAAATAACTCAACATGCAAGTACATATTTTACTCTGTATAATATACGGCTAATACATTAAAAAGACAAGTTGGGTAACGTGCATCAATACTTGTAGCGACCGCACGGGTGTTTTTTACGGCCCATGAATCGTGCAAAGGTGTCACCTAAAGTGACTTTAATGCCCATCGACCTCATTGCTACTGCCCATTTTCGAAGGGTGCGGGTCGTTATGCGGCGGCCAACAATTAGTATACTCCGTACACACGCTGTACTCGTTCGTTTATGATATTATGTACAATATTAGCATAGCGCAGCGATATACACCTAGTTGTAGTTGTCATGGGGTTATCATTATGCAGGTTTCCATAGACAGCATTAGCAATAACACATATTCACTTTTTATGGACGTGCAAACAAATTGAAACGCGCACTAGTGAAACTCCCCGTAGTTTTTACTAACCTATTTAAGTATGTAACGCACTACCGCTTTAAATATCTTAATCTAGTATTAAGTGTTATATCCGGTATGCGAGTTTCTAATGGACTATTAACGGTTTTGTTAATGATCTATTTGTTATATTTCTATACGCTGTATCACAAAACAATAATTAAACATATGAATTAATGNCACTGTATCACAAAACAATAATTAAATATATGAATTAATGAACTGGGCGATAAGTCCCGCTCATAACCAGATTTAGCCGCGTTGGTGTTTGATACTCGTTTGAAAAGCCATGGAAAAAATTAATACTACTTTCATTGCACCGAGTTGTATTATTATCAGCTACTCTGAATATTGTGATTCGACGACATAAAAATATACCTCGAACAATGAACGTTATTGTAAAACGTTTTGTTCAGTATTGCTCTAGTTTTTTACATTGATGATTCAATTATGAACGTATGATACAATAAAAGGTAATGACAATATAACGCATCTGACAAATTGACCTCCATTAAATAATACAAAAGAAAACAACAATAGCAGGATTATTGCTGTTCTGCCATACGCACTGGAGTAAATTTGGCATATTATGTGGATAGTAATAGCTAAAATACGCACCATTTATGTTTTAAGCATGTTATATACACACATTTTCACTCTCCCCTGATTAACTTAACGCGTCAAACGATGGTCTAAAAAAAGTACCCCAAATTCAAAAATATATCAAGTTTTACAAAGCCTCTTCAAATGGCATATTGATAACCGTGTAATTGCACATGGATGGGATTAAAATGGTTCCGTTGGTCATCATAATAAAAAATACGAGGACTTATAGGAATTAAATAAGTATGTACATTTTTTTATAACGCTTAAATTAATTGTGAAAGCACATAAAATAATTTCATTATTACATTTTTTTACAAAAATTGATATAATTTATTCGTGTTTACTTGCATATTATGATTTAAAAACCTATTAATCTTTAAGTTACAAAAACATCAAATCTATTTAATTATATATTAATAACAATAGGAATTTGTGAAAAAATAAATAAAAATAAATGATTATCAATGATAGTAATAATATGTTTTCAATCTTAAAATGTGTATAAAACAAAATATATTGTATTGTACATTCTAAAGAAATTTGTTGTTTTGATATTTGACATGGTTTTTTAACAGTTAAGCATGATTATAACACATCAATTCTTATTCATATAATGTAGATTATTTTCTGGCTATAAAATCAACTTTAATAATCCACGTGTTTTCCACTATTTAAANTTATCAATGATAGTAATAATATGTTTTCAATCTTAAAATGTATATAAAACAAAATATATTGTATTGTATATTCTAAAGAAATTTGTTGTTTTGATATTTGACATGGTTTTTTAACAGTTAAGCATGATTATAACATATCAATTCTTATTCATATAATGTAGATTATTTTCTGGCTATAAAATCAACTTTAATAATCCACGTGTTTTCCACTATTTAAAAAAAAAGGACATACTAGGGTTTAAAAAAATGAAAGTATGTTACTGTGAAAAATATTCTATAGCACTACAATTTCCAAATTTTACATAAAAGATGTAAGAGGATTTTTGAGCATTATTTTTCCGAAAATCATTTGAATTAAGAAATAACGGTTATCAGGACACTTTCTAAATCCTAATACATTGTAGTTATACTCAACATCGAGT